ATAAACCTGCTATATGTATCTGAAACATATCCAAGTATGGGACAAATGTATCTACTTTTTTTGATTGCATACACTAAACAGATTTGTTTAGGAATTATATGAAGTATTTCAAAAACATATACCGAACCACTATTGAAGGATCTAGGAATCATTGAAAATACAGCATATCAGAAACATGTGTAAATTGTTTATCTTGCAATTATTTTGCTAAATACTAATAGAAATTATACTGTACCTTCCAGAGAATAGCTTTTTTGTTAACTATGAGCCAATGAATGAATGGATGCATTTTATTATAACTGCAAAATTATGCTCTATGCAATTCATACGAAAAATAAATTTTGCCATATTAGAATCAAGTATAATCTTTAATCCATTGGATAGATCATGCATTGACTGATGTTGAGGTATTGATAAAAGAAGTGTCAAAATAGATTTTAGTGTTATGTATTAGGCAAAATATTAGGAAGGGTATAAATGGTCTCCAATCTTTCTAGTTTTGAGTATTACGTCTTCTTGCTTTGATTCAAATTATCCTCGGTCACTATTTGTAACCCCTCCCTCCTTCCCCATTTAGGCCATGGATATGAAGATGATTTAGAGGTTATGTGAAGGATACTAGGGAAGGGTTAATAGCCAGAGTTAAATTAGTTCATTTAAGTTTAATCATAAATGTTATGCAATTCACACTAGCATCAAATATCATACCAAAAGGATTGAACTGTTTATTACTTTTCAATTGCAGTAAACATGGTAAAATGGTTCTAAATATTGAACATTGTTGAACAAGCATAGATGACTTGAATAGCTCTAGATGACTTGAACGTATCCATTCATATTCTAGGAACAAGTCAATGAATAAGTAAGACTTGACTCTTGACAGGCTTAAAAGACCGAGGACCCTATAAGACTTAAACTAAAAGTTCATTTGACCATTGATGACCTACCTATGATAGGGAAGGGTCAGGATAACACATGTATAAAATATTTAAAGTGTCTAATAATGATAATGAACATATTACAATGTTACACAACATTAGTAGATGCTAATTAAATGTCAATTATTGTTAGTGTAATCTGCATTTTTCATTTAATGCTGCAACAAGCGCACAAGTACCAAAAAGTGCCACGCCCACTTTTCCCTAAAGCAGCTATGTGTGACTATATTTGATAAATATTATTGATTTATAGGATCATTATATCAACTTTTAAGTGTTTTAATGTTAATATAGATATAATATTACACATTTTGACAAAGTAGCAGCCATAAAATCCAAACAGATTTGCAAATATTTCACTTAGAGTACAAAGGGACACATTTGGGAGGGGGTCAAATTGAGAATATTTCGAGATATAAATACTGTTTCTATGGTAACCATATAAGTTAGAGATTGGAAATTTCTGGCACTTATTAACCATAACATGCCCTACCCAATATAAAACAATGAATATCTGACATGCATTAGTATTCTTTTTATTGGGTGGTATTAAAATACCCCCATGGTTTTTTGGGGGTAGGGGTATTAATTGGTCTGAGGGCCGTCTGCCACCCCTATAGAAAGTCCAACTACCCAGAAAGTGTCCAGTATAATCATACAGATGGTTTGAAATAGGTTGGAATGTGTAACCTTTCATGTAAGGAAGGTTGCATTTCTAGAGCACTTCTACAGAATGGCTTACAGTCTATACAGAATTTCTCAAGCCCAATATATCCTGTATTGCCCTTCGAATCATTTGATAGCTTATAATATCATAATCTGATATGGTATGGTTTCAGATCCTTTTAGAGAAAATATATTTGAGATGGTTAATATGGATTTTTTCTGCTTCATCATTAGCACCCTTGGTATAAGCAGCTAACGAAAATTGACTGGTACGGGTCAAAAGCTGGACTGGTACGGGTTAACGGTTTTATTTGAATTTAAAACAGCCATAACTTGCTCAATATTGACTTCCTCGTGTCTAATTTGAAATATATGATGCCTCCCGATGCTTTTAAGTACCCCAATTTTTTACAGATTTTTAAACGGACCAAAACTCTCTAAATGCGCATTTATGCTCTTTTTTCTCGAGAACGACTGTCTCATTTTCACGATAACTTTTATTTAGTACTTCTAACATATAAGATCTATTTTTCCCCATCAAGGTATGATGTAAATGACATGCTATTTACATCTTGTGAGTTTCAATGACGCGCGTTTGATTTTATAAAAAATGCCAAACACAGAATTTCATCCTGCTTGCAGCGAGAAGACGGACCGGTTTGGGGCAATAGAACCGGTCCGTCTTCTCGAAAAGAGCATAAATGCGCATTTAGAGAGTTTTGGTCCGTTAAAAAATCTGTAAAAAATTGGGGTACTTAAAGTGTGCGCCAAAGTTTAAAACTGCGCAGGCGCACCGCTCTCGCTGAACTATATAAAGAGATTACCAGGTACACGATTCAGAGGTAAGCCAGGAAGGCGAACGATCTTCGTCTCGTGATGATTTCCCATATAATCGTAACCAGGGAAGTTTCACCATTGAAATTGAAAATTACTATTAGATATACTTTGTAGATGTTATTTATGAAGATATTTAGTGTTTGCATCAATCAAATGGCTCATTTTGAACATATAAAAAGTATTTGTGTTTTGTTTCCCAGGGAATTGTATTGTATGTAGTACACACATAAATAGTGTACATTATACAGTACTTGAATAGCCTGGTTTATATAATATTGAAGGGCATGCTGATTACATGCACATGAGTACATGAATGAAGGCCTAATATTGATATACGTAGCTTGCATACCTAAATAAAAAATAAACTCTTCTAATCCCCTAATGTAAACACGGCGGTATACGTAGCCCGATTTATTGGGGACTTTAAAAGCATCGGGAGGCATCATATATTTCAAATTAGACACGAGGAAGTCAATATTGAGCAAGTTATGGCTGTTTTAAATTCAAATAAAACCGTTAACCCGTACCAGTCCAGCTTTTGACCCATACCGGTCAATTTTCGTTAGCTGCGTATACCAAGGGTGATTAGTATATTTTAGTATATTTAGGATGTTTATGGGTAAATTGATAAATGTATTTATAAATAAAACATTTGTATTCATTGAATGTATGTTTTTGTTTGTAACTTGAGTATTTTTGGTTTTTAATTCAAGTAGCCTCGTTTGTTATCTTTTCTTATACAGTGTATGTATGTATCTTATACCAAAATACATTTAAAAGTCGTTAAAATCATTTCTCAATGACACATTTGTTTACAAACAAATTTGAGGCTCATTTTGTATATGTAGCCTTGTTTCTGCAAGTTAGTATTTATGAACACAAAGTCATTTAACATACACACACTTAAGAGACTTGTATTTTATATTTTTTATATTTATTTAAGTTTCATTTTATTATTCACTAATGTACAAATATTAATTTGCTTTCAGCAATAACTCATGGGTTATATGCAGTTTTATCACCCCTGTATATATAACTCTCGCTTTAAGGGTTAATTTGTGTGGTGGGCATCTTTTTAAGGTTACAATTATCAATCTAATGAGTAATATCTTTCTATTACATATGGATATTTATAATTTAGGGTAGAATACATAGATTGTGTTGAATGATATTGAAATGACATTCACATTTTTAAATTTGTTTACGAAAATCTTGCAATTGAGGTCTCCTTTATGAGTTATTGACCACAAAGATGTGGGATTTCTTTACTTTATCAACCATACCTTTTTATTTTACTGGACTATTTACTATATTCTACTATGAGATGCATTTCCTGTCACATGACTTAAACACACCTCTTCAGAGGTTGTTTGACCTGATTGTATAAAGTACAAGGTGGGACAAAAAATTCAAACATATTTTATTTTTTCTATTTTGGAGCTTAAGTTTTCATTCCTAGAAAGATTTGTAGATATATGCTACATAATCATTTTTTCAAAATGAATCAAGTTAGCTCATTCATTCATTTTAGTTTGATAGTGTAAAAGTTTATCCGAAACATTAGTATAAGATTTCCTTTTCTATTTGGATTAATTTCTGAAAATATTTCACAAAATATTTAGCAGATACTGCTCTGTGGAGCAATCAATGAGAACACCTTAATTTTGGTTATGGGTTAAACTTTTCAGTTGCAGACTCTGGAGGTGTGTTCTCCCATCACTTTATTTAGCATTTCCATGTGTTCGGTATATTGCTAACATCTCTGAAGCAGCTATTTTGTAAAGTGTTACTACACTACTAATCCAGATATATAAAAGACATGCTGTTCTCATATATCATAATAACATTTTATTCAGACTGTCTAACCTTGAGCTGTCAACTGTTTGTTACAGATTTTTTATTTGATTGCCTTTGTGCACTTAGACACACAACTCAGGATTGTTTTGATTTTAGACAATACCTGGGTGTTTTAAAATTTACAATATAGAGCAAGTTAACCTAAAAGCAAATATGATTAAAAACAGCTATATATATTTCAATCATCTGAATGAATTATTCCCCCTCCTGAAGGACAGAGGAACAGCTGCTAATTCTGATAGTATGTCTAAGTCTGTGTTGTTGTTTAAGGATTTAAGCCCTTGACTCAGAGCAATGTGGAATGACCATTCCTTGAAGGTGTTGCCTTCCAAAATTTGAACGAGATGTTAATTCTAGGAAACAACGCCTGAAAGGAATGGTCATTACACAATGCATTGAGTCTTGTGCTTAAATTCTTTTCACACATTCTAAAATATTTTCCTCTGTGTCACTTAAAAGATATAAAATCACCAAAAGAACGTATTTTCAATGAAACTTTTTGCAAGCGTCAAATTGGCAAAGCAAAGAGTTTAGTTCTCACCATAACGACAACCATACAACAAATGTGTTATTGGTTATTTCATGCACTGCTGTGTGAAATACTGTGTTTGGATTGACTGGAGTCAGACATACTTTGCCTAGCTGTGTGTGAAATTATGATTAAAACCCAACACATGAATTCTTGATTTTTGTTGATTTTAGGAATCAACACAACTTCTGCTGCATTGAAAAGCATGTTAGCATATCTGGTTGTTCATCCTGAAATTCAGCAAACAATTCAACAAGAGATAGATAGTGTTCTTGGCAACAGGTTAGATGTCGCTTGTATAGTAATATGGTGACCTTAGATGGTCCAAACTTTCTAGCACCTATTTATTTCATCCAGGCTCTACAAGGGATTTTGAACTTTTAATTTAGTAGCCCTTCCTTGTCTTATTCCAAATCCCATTTGTCCAAATAAAATGTCTTCTCACTATTTATGATTTAAAAGTTTTAATTTGATCCATCTACTCAACAGGTCAAATGAACATCATTTTAAATATTCATATTGCTGCAAAACAGCATATCTTCATAATTTTATGTCTTGCATCACCAATGTGTCAAATGTTCACCTTCACATTTCCACACTGATTCAAATGAACATGAGCAGTAATTTTATGTACATGTATTTCACCATCATTACTTATGCATGGAATCAAAGAAAACTGACCCAGGAACACCTCATCAAAGGAGTCATCTGATCTATCACTGAGCTGCATGGGTGGACTTTCGAGACATTTTATTTTGCAGTAGAAAAGGAATGGAAACATAAGTCTCAAAACTAATTCACTTTTTCATTCATCTTTTAGATGTCCCTCTATTAAAGACAGGTCATCAATGCCATACACAGATGCATTCCTCTTAGAATCCCTGAGATACATGTCCCACTTGCCTATAGGTATCCCTCATGCAGCCATAAGGGATGTCACCATAAAGGGACATTTCATCCCAAAGGGAACTCAGGTAAACCCTCATTGATTATCTCAACCCCAAAAAATCATATAGTAGTTGCCCTTTAAAACATATAACAATATCAGTTATTGGAACACTGAAAGATGGCAATACTATCAGATGTGAAAGAGTTGGTATATAAACAGACCTGATAACACTGCCATCTTTAAATCAATCCAGAACCCCAAAATAAGTAAGTACATCGATGCAACACCACAAATGAGACCAAAATGAATATAACCTAATAAATCATAAATAACTACCTGTATATGGCTATTTCTAATACGGGTCATGAACATGTATATTATAGGTTTGGTTATATCTCTTCGGTCTACACCATGATGACAGATTTTTCCCTGACCCCTGGAGCTTCACCCCACAGAGATTCCTTGATAAGGATGGAGGCTTGATTCCTCCAGACGAACGGAAACTGTACGAAATTTTCAGAAAAAATTCCATTTTGTAAAGCTAACATAAATTCTAAAGTATAACTTGTCTTATATAAAGCTAAGAAAAATTGTAAGTTATCTAAATCTTGCGATTACATAAAATCTTACCATTACCAAGCATAGCAAGACAACTACAATATTTTGAATGCAATAAAAATCAACAATGATATGCTCCTCATGAATGAACAGTGTCAAAATCAATTAAATAAAATAACTGAATGAACATTTCAATTTCAGACTTCTACCATTTGGTGCTGGGCGGAGAGTTTGCCTCGGAGAACAACTTGCCCGGATACGAATGTTTCTTTTCATAACAACATTTCTTCAAAAATATACTTTCCTCCCTGAGACCCCTGATAACCTGCCTGATTGTGATATCAAGAACGGGACAATGGGGGCGGTGATGAACTTAAAGGATTATAATATACGGTTAGAGAGGCGAAAATGATTATCTAGCTCAATACCAATGAAAACACTATATTGCCACTCATACATTTAACATTAAATACTGCATGTTTTTCATATATCACAGTCACACTGAAATTTTTTGTACATTAACATCAATGCAGCTAGGTACTACAAGTAATACATGTATTTAATTGACTCATCAATGAATCAATGTATCAATGAACTGATCATGTCAACAAATTGCTAACTGACAGTATTATATCTTAAGAAGGACTACATGTACTATATAATATACATTTGTGTATTTTAGTTAAGTGGGAAAGAAATACCTATTTTTGTAATTACTGTTATATAGTCATGTGGAGTTGTAATAAATATGTTATAAAATAAATTTTTCTTAGGAGATTTTTGACGAAATGTTTACATTAAATGTATAGAATATAGACCTAAAACTAAAACTTAGATGCAATCCTTAAAATGATTAGATGCAGTGCAACATAATTCTCTCATGATTTTCCACATGACACCATTATACTCATACACTTTAGTTAAAGCCAATGTAGCTGGGTAAATGTATGATGATGGATGATAGTACAGTAAAACCTGCGAACAAGGAACACTCTCCGATCCTTTCATTATTACTAAATGCATTCACAAATACTTTATCACAGGTTCCTTCATTTTACTATGAGTTTAACTTAAAACTACCTAGTATGCCCAGGATACTACCACAATCTAATGTTAAATCAAAATTTCACTTTTGACCTACGCGCTGACCTTCCACCAATCAACGAGCTTGAAGAAACATACGCCAAATGCGTTCTAATTAAATATGCGTATGTCATTGGTCAATTCCGGGCTCAATGATGACGTCAGAAGGAATGACCATATAAAGAACGTCGGTCAAATTTGGCCGACGAACACTGATTGCTGCGGTGAGTTCACAGGTTTATTTTAGTTTGAAAGAGTGAAGACGAAGCTCTCTTTTAAGAAGTGAAGTCAAACGAATGCAAAGGGTATTCAATTTACAATCTAACTGAAAAACATGGACAACTTTAAATTTATTATGAAAATATCAAAGATTTAAGGTATACACTCACACATATGAGTTGGATTTACACTAGCAAGCTAAGACGTCTTAGCTAAAACGTTTTAGCGTTAAAACGTTTTACAAATGTAATGTAAATCCAGATTTACTCAAGAGCTCTCGGCTAAGAGTGCTTAGCTAAAGCTAAAGCGTTTTAGGACCCTAGTCATAGCCAAGACGTCTTAGCGTTAAAAACAATTTACAAGCGAGTGAAAGCGTTTTTTTTTGTGTTGCGTCGAACGAAACATTTGAAACTTTCCATTTACATAATTCGCATGGTCCTTTATTTTGTCTTATCCCTTGTTCCCAATATCATCCCATAATTATTGAGACGAACTTATTTGCCTGGCGATTTATCATAATCCTAATTTATGCATAAAATCTTCCTGCTCTCTTTCATGCTTTTAACAATGCTGTCTTTAAAACATATTTTTCTGACACCGATGTATTCTTTAGTACAAAGTCGAGTACAAAGTATCGAAGCGGGAAAGGAATAGCTATATTGACTGAACCGTCCTTCAACCAGTACTGAACTGCTTTTTTCATTTTACATGTATACCTACCTTGGTTGGGCCTGAAAAAAATGTTGAGCCAAAAAAGGCCTTGAGGCCCCAAAAAGTTATCCTCGTATGATGTTATTTGTTGTTATTTTTTCTGATTTGGATATTTATTTTTTCTTATTTTCTTGCATACGAGGGTCATACACACTCACCGCATCTATATTGCGGGAAATGCTTTCCTGGCCTGTCTACCCAGAAAAAGACAGAAAATCAGATAAAAATAAATAATGTGAATGGGCGATAATAAGTGAATACTTACTATTTTGAAAGTTTCTCAAAGAATGCTTTCGTTTCCTCGTCTGTTAAGGGTCTCATACTGAAGGCGCAGTAACTAAAATTCGATAAGACGTCTTTTGAATAGTAGTCGATCTATGTTACAGCAGTAAATTTGTTTTTAATGCAAGATATTTATTTATATTTTTGGAGCACATTTCCCGGAAGCGCTAATGCGCAGAATCAGTGACCTAGAAATGACGTCACTTTGACATTACCTGAGTAACGGCTATGTAAACAACATGGAGTTATCTGTATATTTCAGTATTTGTATACACTTTTGATTGAGTGATAATTGCACACGAATATTCTATATTTTGAAATATAAATGCATGCCTCTACACTAAATACTCATTGTGACAACCGTCAAATCAAATCAAAAGTTATGTATAGCAAATGCTCCTAAGCTTGGATCTAAATTCTTGAATTGGATGTCTGTCAAATCATTCATTGAGATTAATTGAGTGACAGGTCTACAGGAGGGGCTGAAGATGGAATGTGGGTGATTGGATTTACACAATTGAAATCCATGATATATAGACGCGTTGTTATACTATAACAATGACAGTTCCCGATGTGATATCCCGAGTTGCTGTCATGAATATCGGACTGCCTAATTCAAGAACAGAACTACCAGAGTCATCTGGATACAGAAGATTCCATAGTGCATCTAGTCATCATTCTGTTCTACTCCAAGAAGACCAAAGTGGGCTGCAACCCATTTCAATAAGCGTTCTTCCTTTGCATAGACCTCTTAGTTATGATTCACTCCAATCTTCAAATCACCAAAGGGTACCACCTGAATCAAATATTCAAAAAGGTTCATTGACTGGAGCTGAAGAAGCTGATATAATTCACCAAGCCCTAAATTTGAATAGGTTTAAAATTGTACCACCAGTAGAAATCAAGCCAAATGATGCAGTTATAAAACAGAATGCCTGGGAAGGGGATGATTATTTCCAAGCATCTGTTCAAGAAACAGGAACAAAAGATGAAGGTATTTATCAAAACAATATTTGAGAATCATATTAATAATTTATCATTTATATATATACTCATACTGCAAGAGTTTTGCAATATTCTGTGTTCATAATATATCCCAATAATCATGGGCTTTCAACAGATAAATAAATTAATTTAGTTTTAACATATTATGTTTGTTTTTGAAATCTTGGCATTCATTTTTGGCTAGTGTTTATAATCATTAAGACATCAAGTTTAACTGATAGAAAATTCACTTTCAGATGACTCATGGTCCATTTCTACAAAATCCAAAAAGAAGAAGAAAAAGAAAAGAACCAAGTCAGCTAAGTGCAAGAAAAATTCCAAAAAGTCTACAAATAAAGTTGATAAATCACACAAACACTCCTCAATTGATAATAACTCATGTAATGGAGGACTTACACTTGGTGTGGTTGCCGCTGCTGCTCCGGTAACAAAAAAGACCCCTCAAATATCTACTACTCAACAAATAAAAAAAGTAAACCACAAAGTTCAGTCGAACACTACTGAAGAACCTGAAAAGGGCAGTGAGAGATTATTAACAAATGAGAGAATACTCAAACCCCAACACTCTCTATGTCTTCCCAAAATGTCAATGTATCCGAGTGCTTCCCCGAGACTTTCAAAATCTCAGAGCAATAGCGCATATAATAGCTCAAATTCATCAATGCTTATAAGATCTCAGGATAACCATGCACATGAAAAGCTAAAGGTGATGAAGGTCTACTTATCAGATAAGCAGTCCAATACAATAAAATTGCTAGGGTTGGATTTACCTTGTGCTCCTCCAGCTACACCAATGCCAGGTGAGAAATAGAGGTTATACCTTGGGACATTGGAGGGAGGGGTTGTATATTGGGTTTATCCTTGGGACGATATCATGTCAGGATATATGTACATGCATAGGATCTAACAATATATATTGCAAAAAATTGGTTTAATTTGACAACAGGCATTTAATTTGAGGAATTTGCCATTTCAAGATCATTGGGGTTATTTACTTTGGGGATAGATATATCAATTTACACTACATATATGAATATTTTAACTAATGAGTAGCATCCAGCATATGCCCTACAGTGCATCAATACAGTTGATTTAATTAGGATTAAGGTTGGCCAAGTTAAACTAATCATGATTATGTTGATAATTAGATGAATATCTGTCATGTAGCCTTGTATACAGGCATCAGCTAGACCTACCTTAATTTACATCTTTCCACAAAGTTAATTGATTTGCATGTTTCTGTTCTTGTAGATCAACTCTGTCGCTATGAATACATCCCCAGTATGACTGATGTCAGGGTAGGTTGTCCTTTTAAATAATGAAATCTTAATTAACAATAACAGTTAAATCAGTAGAGTATCCAGATACCTACCATAAAGTTAAGGAATTCTACATCTATTACGTCACCTCCACAAGTAGTCTCCAACTTTTTTGTGGATGGTGTTTAGTGGTTGGTGTTTAGGATTCAGTAGATGGTGTGCAGCATTCAGCAGTCAGTGTCTGTAACAAATGGAAGGTTGTGACATTTTGCATATTAATGCCTTGTTGATATTAATGACAATCACCTGTAGTCTTTCTGTTCCCATTTGCAGTCACAAAGGGCCCTCAAAGTACGTCTGAACACTTTGGAGAAGATAGAGGGCCAGAGAAAGGCAAAGCAACGTGCAGAGCAAGTGAAACAGGAGCAACAGAATCGTAAAGATCAACAGATTGAACTGAAGAAGTTTCAGAGACTTCAGGTATGTTTATGATGATTTATGATTCCTCATCTATGGATGGCTTGTACTGATCAAGAGAACTCTATAAAGTTGTTTATCCTTAGAAATACCTAAATCATGAAGTGTGACCATGAATTTCAGTTTTGAACTTGCCAAGCTGCTTAATATATGATACTTTCAGAGAAGAGGAAGTCTGTGATGAATTTAATAAATCGAAAATATTTTGGTGTAATATGATGAAATTAACAGATTTCCTTGAAGACTTTCTATACATAAACATGTATATTCGTATTTCATTTTATCTTGAATGAGAAAGTATTTGAGAATATTGTTTGCTTTTAGATTTACGCCCTGAATAAAGTTATGACAGAATTTGAAAACAAGAATTTTGAAGAGTTCTGCAAAGTCAAAGGACTGAATACCTCATGCAAGAAATCAAAGAAATGAAATGCCCATGTTGGAAATGCATGATGTGAACCCCATGGCCTCATTGTGACAGAGCTACAGGGATTAACTACTCTACCTAACTGACATATGGCTGATGTATTCAAGGACTGCTGTTAAAACTGATGGTACATGGGTACAATCATATAACAAATAATATCATTTAAAGGAAAGCTGACCCCAAATATTATTTATGCTGCTGTATCTTTTATACACAATACTTACTACCAATTTTAATGAAATATTTGGGTCGGTGATAGATAAATCATTTAATATAGAAGATTGTCATATCGAGCTACTTTCATTCAAAATGGCCGTCACACAGCTTACTTTAGTATTGCAGGTATTGGAGAAAATGCAAGATACTGTATCATAATGTGTAACGCGCAATAATGTGTAACTCTAAAATGTGTAACAATAATGTTTAACCCCAAAATGTGTAACAATGAGTGAAGTGGGTAGTCAGTTGGCTGTTAATACAGTACCAAATGAGGAAATATTTGAGTTTACTACTCCAATTCTCTCATTAAGACACAGTCTTAAAGTACTTTCTTGAATCCTAAATGTACTGGATTTTCCAATAATTGGTTGTGATAAACAAACATAATAAGTGTGATACAACATGCAGTATAACTGCAAATGTAGATCTTGAGGAATAACCTTTTTACTAGCCTTGCCCAAGTCGGTATTTTTTTAATCAAGATAAATAAGAGACCGGCTTGGGCAAGGCTACCTTTTTACAAATAACTAGATATTATCCAAAAATAACTGGAATACCAGAACCAGAATATAGTTGAAATAGGTAAAGTTCCTAATGGATGTGATGTGATACATTTCCAAATTTAGAAATCAGTATGTGCTTCTTACTAGATGTTATGTATTTTTATAATTTTACACTTTGTACATGGCCACATTTCAATGTTAGAATATTTTAAATCATTAATGGCTCAAGAATCCATATTTTATATGGCCAATACCCATAGTGTTAAGATGGTAGTTGAATGTGAGTTTTCTAGATGTGATATCAGTTTAGCCTGAAAGCCATGTCAGATTATCATACTTTATTAGCTGAAGCTCAATTAAAATTTTTGACTCAGTCGGACAAGAGTAAGTCACCAAGCCATAAGTCCCCAAGCTGAACAACTTTTATAAAGAGCATTTTTTAAAAGGTATTCAGATCAGTATGGGTTTGCTCTAGGAATAAAGTTAATAGTTTTATGACTTATTAATTATGATGTGAAAACTTCTTAATTATGATGTGAATATTTTTCAGATTTTTGCATGAAACAGCTGATAAACATTTTGTACTTGTTGTATTTTCAGATGAAGCATTAAGAGGTTTGATCCTTTTATAATGTATAGCTCTTGCTTTTACAAATTGCATAATATTGTTATGTTTGTTGAACTCATTTTTTGTTTTATATGATGTATACTGTGCAATATTTAGAAATAAATACATTTTATAAATAAAAAAAACGATTGTTATAATGTTACGATGAAATAATCGGAACGTAAGCCACCAGTAGAAGTTATTGTTTACAATATTTTTAACTCTTATGCCTTGGTGAATAAGTCCCATTGGCAAGTCTCATTTTTCAATTATTATATGAGTTTGGACATTTTTCCATCTTCAATAACTTCACTTCGTGTCAAGGAGATCAGGTATCTCAAATCTTTGTTCAGAAATACTAGAAAATGGCAATATGGTGGTGACATAATAATACTTACAATCATCTATTAAAACAGAAAATCCAGGCATATAAAAGCCAAAAACTGGTGAAATATCTTTCCAATTCATTCCCGAATTATTCCAAATTTCATCTTTTATATTTGAATAAGTTGTACTTCAAAAAGATATCAAAATTATCAAATTGCCGTTTTCTTGACCAGAATACACTCACTGGGGGTCATGCTAAAAAAACAGGATAGTATACGAAATACATGTTTAAACTATAGCACCAAGCTTTCAAACAGTAGTATCCATTACTTTGGTTGAAAATAAAAAAATAGATTTTTAAGAAAAATACAACATCAGGCAGCCAATTTTGGACTTAAAGGACAACTGAAATAGGTTTTCTAAACTTGCAGCTACAAAAATGCGGTTTTCTTCATTGTAAGCCCAACGTAGAGTTCTTGCGTTAGCCATTAAAAAAAGAAATGTTTGATAACTGTTAATGGTCATTAATAACGTAATAAAATTAACTGACCAATCAGATTGGCCCCCACGTGATAAGTAACGTCATACATAATATATGGTTTTAATTTATTGGTTCCTTGGTAATCACGACGACACGGCAACCATATGATTGTTGTGGAAACAAATAACAAAACATCTTGGTATTATGATGTCATGATTTAATGGACCAAAATGGGGCATGTGGGGACTAGTGAGAGATCACGTGGGGGCCAATAACGTCACAACCTATTCGGATATTGGTTATTAAGCAGCTATAACGATCGTTAGAGTGAAATAATTTTCACAATACTGATGAGAAAACATATGCAAATACATTTATCAAAAAATTATATTGATTCCTTTAGGTCAAAAATACCATTTCATATCTGCTTTAATGAGTTTCAAATGGTGTGGAGATGCCACTAACCCTAAACTGGCACTTAAAGACACATTTTGGAGGTTTGAATTTGAATTGAACCATTTGAATTTGAAGGATTTAAATGTGGTACCAATGTGTAGACAGATGGACGATTTGAAGATAACAAACAATAGGCCAACAGCTCCTAATACATTGATAAAGTGAGCTTCAATCTAAAGTAGAGGTAAAACATGGTTGGATTTTCTTAAACATGTTCTTCAGGTTGGATTATCAAATCACAATCTTTTTACAACCTTTAATTTACTAAACAGGATTTGATTGAAATATAATTTTCATTTTGAGGATGACTGGAGAATGATTGGCGTTAACAGAATTCACCATTGTACATTGTAGGGCACTCAATGTCTTCTTTTCAGACAATTTAACTAAGAAATGACAAAAAAAGATGAGTGTATTTCACCCACTTTATTAATTTTAAGATTTCACATGTAACACTTTAACAAACATAGTCCAGGATACAAGCCAGAAAACCATTAGCACTTTAAGCTGAAGCTAAGTGCCTTATAAATTATAAACAGATCTTCGTTAGGTATCTAGCTTCTATGCAGGACTAAGAAAACATAATCAACAAAAATATCAACTTTGGTATTATCATAAAAAAATTAACCTTGAAAACAATCAATTTTAAATTCAAATTGTGATATTCATTTATAATTACTTCATCAATTGGCATTTCTATAAAAAAATAGGATAAAACCTTTTAAATTATTTAACAATTGTGACTCAGAGTATTTTGATGGAAATATTGTACTTGATATGGAACATTACAGTATTAAGCTAGTTAAATCCACTTGAATGAATGTAAGTTGATATTTATCATAGAAATATTAATAAACTTCTGTGAAGTACACAATGAAACAACATTTAATATGATGATTTATATATGTTACCTTATATACAACTATTTCCCTATACAGTGTACATATATAAACTAAACAGGTATAGTTGACATTTCCCAAATTTGGAAAAGATCTGTATATTTGAGTTTATACCAGCCAAAACCATTTTCAAATAATCAAATAGGTTTTTGAGAATAAAATAAGTTGATAATAGCCAAGATATTTTCAAACAGAGATAACATCAACTATTCCCAATTCACCTAATTTATATTCATGGTTAACACCAAAATATTAAAATATACAAGCTGTAAGCTATTCACCAGGTAAATACAATCTTAGAGTGGACCTAACAAGACAGTCCCCAGTGGATAGTCAGTAACACTGAACTTACTTGGCTTTTATGTAATGACATAAAGATTGTATTTCCTGGTGACCAAATGATTGCACTATTATATACATAAATCCAAATCTTCATGGTTATGTGGTTTGAACTTCATCGACAAGATCCGATGATCATCTTTACTTATTCATGATTTTTAATTTTATATTGCATCTTGTCATAACCATATATCATTCCATTATTAACATATCGGCTTCTGGCATATATACCCTTACTGCAATAGTTTGATCTTGGCATGATCACATAAACCAAATGGTCATCTAACTCTTAAAGAGGGGCTGTCTGTTTTTTGCAAGTTTTGAGCAAGAGCAAGTCTTTGTACTATTTTAAAACATTTTTTCAATGCATAACAGCAAAGTGCTGATTTTGAAGTCTTTGAGAAGGTTAGTCAGTTTTAGTTTAACTAAGTCAAGCCTACAATTTTTATTAATTTGCATAAAAATGTTACAGACAGTGTCTCTTTATTTTTTGCCTTTGATTTTTCCTGTGTATAATTTAGCATCCATGAACCAGGCTCCTTATATACATATAATCAATTTGACAACTTAGTTTATTTTGTTCCTTCATCACCCCAAATATTAACATACACTCCTAATCCACATTCACACCCAAAGATTTTTGAATTTTAATTACGTATTATAAGAAATAAGACGATTTTGATGCTCAACGTCTTGAATATCATACTTCCTAATGGTTGTTAAATTTAATAAAAAAGTCAAATGTCAAATTTTAACTGAAGTTTTATCTCCAAGAAATGTTTGAAGAAAGTCTATTGTAGTGTAACAACTGTAGAAAGAAGAGAATGGTTCTGTTTTGTTTAGCTGTTAGTGTAAGCTGGGGGAGGGGGGTTGGCAGGCTGGTCCACAATGTCCTCATATTTTGGTGGCAGCAACATCTGAAAATAAATCCATTAAAACATTCAATGAAGTTAAAAATACTTGAAAATCTCACTCCTCGTATATAAGCAGACTACATAATTTGAGTCTTACATTGAAATGTTACTATTCAATGGCACTGATTCACAAAGCTATATTGTTTCTTTCAATTGTTTCCCTTACAAGTGTTTATATTGAAATTAAATGACTCCTTAAAATTGAGAAAATAGCACCTGCTTGTTTGCTATTTCCATGCCCAATGAGAAGCAGGTGTAAATTGGTTCAAAAGGAAAGAAAATCTGCATGCTTTTTTAGTAATATGAACTAAAATATTTTCAATGGGTATTCCAACACTTAAACTTCATCCTTCCACTCATAAAATATTTTTGCATTTTTTACATATGTTTTAGGATATCAAGAGTTCCTACACTGTTTAACTGTTCAAAAACCCTGACATTTTTGGCCTTTTTGACTTAATTTTAAAATTCCCTGACATTTCCAGATCTGGAAAAATAAAACATTTTCCTGACATTTCCAGATGTGAAGGAACCCAGATATCTATACAAACTTACCTCGCCACCTTCTTCATTTCCATCAAAGTAGTGATTGACTGCCTCTGTGACTTGTTTCCTGGTGAGGAATTTATAGCAGGCCCAGACCATGCCGATCAGATAGGCCTTGATGAAGAGTGTGAAACAGAAGAAGACCGCAACAATCAGACACAGCCATTCATTGTCCATCTTCAGCAACTCATCCTTGAATGGCAACTCCTAGAGAATAAATTATTATAATTAGCCTATAGTTTTCATTTCAAAAATGATCTAATAATATAATGTAGTTTTGACAGAGCTGTAGGAAAACGAATGATAATATACAAGTTACACAAAAGATTAGTTACCTAGTCCGGTAACAGTGTAGAATGGAGTTGTATGTAAAACATGAAGAGGTAGTGTTAGAAATCATTTACTGAAAATAAACTGTATTGCTGGATAATTAAAATTGGTTGCACTAGGTGTGCTCTATATTTCTGTTAATCTTTTAATATTTTACACTCTATTCATGATTACCTGCATGCTAATGTACTGTTTCACATCTGGCATATATGTGAAGTAACCCACTACACTGAGCACAGTCAGACAGAATGCGAACACTTGTACACAGAAGAATGGCATCAGATAACTGGGTCTTCCCTGAAATAAACAATGAAGTAATGAAAAGATAACAAGGAAATGTTGATTTACTAGTCTTGAACCAGGTGTTTGGTCTTCCCATTTTCCAACAATGAGCTGTGAGGAAGATGGGGTTGAATGAACACTAGATTGATTTAAAACTGGTGATTATGCATAAAAAAAATTAATTTCTACATAGAACCTTTAATCATGTCAACTATATTACATTTACACATATCAATATGCATATCAAGTTAAAAAAAACTTTCAAGGATATGATTTTACCTTAGCAGCTCCATAGACTAACATTGCAGCAAACGCCAATGAGATGAATGTGATCAAGAAAGCAACAAACACATCCTCTGAAAAAATATATAATGAGTACATTAAGGAGCACAATAGCAAAAAGTATGAATCTATGTCAATTTAGTAATATACAAGAAATTACAAAAAACAATTAGTATAGTAGGAACAAGGGGTTCCCATGCACCCATAAGGTGTGAATAAGTTACATACATTTTTGTAATCCCTAGGGTGTCTATTTAATGAATTCATTTGTTAACATTGCCAACTAATGTCCCATAGTACTTTTATGGCGGCATTCAGTTACCATGGTTACGCATCTTTAGACATCTTACCTTGGTATCTTAAATCATTTGTAGCTCTGTCATTATTTGGTCTATAGAAATGATATTGGTACCAAATTAAACCTCGTTAAATTTCCAATAAATTTCTGATATTCAATTATGCAAATTATCTAATTTGCATAAATTATGACGTCATCAATCTATTTTTGGTTCAGAATTTCCAACTATAGCAACGTATCTATTAGAACTGAGGCCGTATGGCAAAATTTCTGAAAGGTTTTGTCCTTTATTCTATTAGTAGAAGGTATAAGCAAAATAAAAGTGAAAACAGATTCAAAATTGAATCAGTATTACGAAAGTTATGTAACTTTTGAGGCAGCTATCGTGAATGTCATTATTTGACAATAATATACATACGTCTTACCTTGGAGTCTTGAATCAATGTAGCGTCGCCATTATTTTGTCTATAGAGATGATATTGGTATCTGATTAAACCTTATTAAATTTACTATATGGTTACAATATTAAGTTATGCAAATTAGCTAATTTGCATTAATTGTGACGTCATCAATCCATTTTTTGTTCAGAATATTGTAGTATAGCAACATTCTATTAGAACTGAGGCCGTATGACAGAATGTGTGCATAGTTTTGTCCCTTATTTGATGAGTGGAAGATATAAGCAACATTAAAGAGACAACAAATCTTCAAAATTGGATCAGAATTAACAAAATTATCCAGCTTTGGAGGCAGCTACTGTGAACGTCATTGTTTGACAATTATAAAAAGAACATTAAATTAACAAAAAAAGTAAGAACCATAGTTGTTTCAATCTTATTGAGTAAAAATGTGCATGTATTGAACTGAACTAATAAGTATGTGGAAAGGTTACATGCATTTTGACTATCATTCACAGGGGTCAAAACGGTTATCTCGACCCTGTATATTAAAGATCCAATCTTATAATTTACCATGCACTTTCAATGATTCATATAAATAGTATACATATAGTCTGATTTTCATCATATTCTTGATTCTTAAAGCATCTGAAGTATATAGCATGATTAGAAGTGAAGATGATTCATCATATGGTTTATGTAATATTTCTAACATTTCAGATGCTATGGTAACATCACTTGATAATGAGGTTTTTACATTTCACGTTCTTAATGAGTTAAAAGGAAGTTATTCTCCCTTTGCTTTAGAGATAAATAGTCGCATGAATTTGTTTAGAAAAATTATAACTTAATTAATTTAACTCCCCCCCCCTGACAGCCCCCATATTTGAAGATTTTGGGGAAACCTGGCAAAATACATTAATTATTAGGTTTCAGAAGCTATATGATGGCCCCCAGTGGCCCCAAGAATCTATACAGGGGCCCCAAGTGGCCCCCAGAAGCTATACTGTGCTCCCCAGAAGCTATATGTTGGCCCCCAGAAGCTGAATAATGGCTCCCAAGAGCTATACAGTGGCTCCCAGAAGCTATACAGGAAACCCTGTGGCCCCCAGGAGCTATACGGTGGCGCCCAGAAGCTATACAGGGGCCCCCAGTGGCCCCAAAAAGCTATACGGTGGCCCCCAGAAGCTACATTGGGGCCCCCAGAAGCTATACTATGGCCCCCAGAAGCTATACAAGGGCCCCCAGAAGCTATATTATGGTCTCCAGAAGCTATATGGTGGCCCCCAGTGGCCCTCGGAAGCTATATGATGGCCTCCAGAAGCTAATTAGTGGCCCCCAGGAGCTATACAGTGGCTCCCAGAAGCTATACAGGGGACCCCAGTGGCCCCAAGAAGCTAAACGATGGCCCCCAGAAGCTATACAGGAGCCCCAAAAAGCTACATGATGGCCCCAAGAATCTATATGATGGCCCCCAATGGCTCCCAGAAGATGTGAAGGGCCCCCAGTAGCCCCTAGAAGCTATACGGTGGCCCCCAGTGGCCCTCATAGGCTATATGATGGCCCCCAGAAGCTAAATAGTGACCCTCAGGAGCTACATGGTGGTTCCCAGAAGCTACACAATGGCCCCAAGAATCTATATGGTGGCCCCCAATGGCTCCCAGAAGCTATAAAGGGCCCCCCAGTAGCCCCTAGAACCTATACGGTGGCCCTCAGTGGCCCCGAAAGCTATATAGTGGCCACCAGAAGCTATACAGGGGCCCACAGTGGCTCCCAGAAGCTAAACGATGGCCCCCAGAAGCTATGCAAAGGCCTGCAGAAACTGTACTGTAGCCCCCAGAAGCTATACAGGGGCCCCCAGTGGCTCCCAGAAGCTATAAGATGGCCCCCAGAAGCTATGCAAGGGCCCGCAGAAACTATACGGTAGCCCCCATAAGCTATACGATGGCCTCCAGAAGCTATACAGTGTCCCCCAATGGGCCACCATATAGCTTTGGGGGCCACCGTATAGCTTCTAGGGGCTACTGGGGGCCCTGTATAGCTTCTGGGAGCCATTGGGGGCCATCATATAGATTCTGGTTGCCATCGTGTAGCTTCTGGGGGCTGCTGTATAGCTTCTGGGGGCCATCGTATAGCTTCTTGGGGCCACTGGGGTTCCCTGTATAGCTTCTGGGTGCCACCATATAGCTCCTGGGGGCCACTAATTAGCTTCTGGGGGCCATCATATAGCTTCTGAGGGCCACTGGGGGCCACCATATAGCTTCTGGAGACCACAGTATAGTTTCTGTGGGCCCTTGTATAGCTTCTGGGGGCCATCGTTTACCTTCTGGGGGCCACTTGGATCCCCTGTATAGATTCTTGGGGCCACTGGGGGCCATTATATAGCTTCTGGGGGCTTCTGGAACCTAATAATTAATGTATTTTGCCAGGTTTCACCAAAATCTTCAAATATGGGGGCTGTCAGGAGGGGGTTAAATTAAGTTATAATTTTTCTAAACAAATTCATGTGACTATTTATCTCTAAAGCAAAGGGAGAATAACTTTCTTTTAACTCATTAAGAACGTGAAATGTAAAAACCTCATTATCAAGTGATGTTACCATAGCATCTGAAATGTTAGAAATATTACATAAACCATATGATGAATCATCTTCACTTCTAATCATGCTTTATACTTCAGATACTTTAAGAATCAAGAATATGAAGAATATGATGAAAATCAGACTATATGTATACTATTTATATGAATCATTGAAAGTGCATGGTAAATTATAAGATTGGATCTTTAATATACAGGGTCGAGATAACCGTTTTGACCCCTGTGAATGATAGTCAAAATACATGTAACCTTTCCACATACTTATTAGTTCAGTTCAATACATGCACATTTTTACTCAATAAGATTGAAACAACTATGGTTGTTACTTTTTTTGTTAATTTAATATTCTTTTTATAATTGTCAAACAATTACGTTCACAGTAGCTGCCTCCAAAGCTGGATAATTTTGTTAATTCTGATCCAATTTTGAAGATTTGTTGTCTCTTTAATGTTGCTTATATCTTCCACTCATCAAATAAAGGACAAAACTATGCACACATTCTGTCATACGGCCTCAGTTCTAATAGATATGTTGCTATACTAGGATATTCTGAACCAAAAATGGATTGATGACGTCACAATTAATGCAAATTAGCTAATTTGCATAACTTAATATTGTAACCATATAGCAAATTTAATAAGGTTTAATCAGATACCAATATCATCTCTATAGACCAAATAATGGCGAAGCTACATTGATTCAAGACTCCAAGGTAAGATGTATGTATATTATTGTCAAATAATGACATTCACGATAGCTGCCTCGAAAGTTACATAACTTTCGTAATACTGATTCAATTTTGAATCTGTTTTCACTTTTATGTTGCTTATACCTTCTACTAAAAGAATAAAGGACAAAATCTTTCAGAAATTTTGCCATACGGCCTCAGTTCTAATAGATATGTTGCTACAGTTGGAAATTCTGAACCAAAAATAGATTGATGACGTCATAAGTTATGCAAATTAGATAATTTGCATAATTGAATATCAGAAATTTATTGAAAATTTAACGAGGTTCAATTTGGTACCAATATCATTTCTATAGACCAAATAATGACAGAGCTACAAATGATTTAAGATACCAAGGTAAGATGTCTAAAGATGCGTAACCATGGTAACTGAATGCCGCCATAAAAGTACTATGGGACATTAGTTGGCAATGTTAACAAATGGATTCATTAAATAGACACCCTAGGGATTACAAAAATGTATGTAACTTATTCACACCTTATGGGTGCATGGGAACCCCTTGTTCCTACTATACTAAATGTGATGTATAATGTTAATTTTACAGCTGATTATATAGGCCTTGAATATAATGCTCTTTGTAGTTTAAACTTAAGAGATGAAGTGTATTGCATCAATCACGTGGTAGGGATTTTGACAAAATAAAAAACAAGGCATTAACATGCAAAATGTCAACACATGCCATTTGTTACAGATGTCGAACACCGACTGCCAAACATTGTCTGCAAAAATGTTGGAGGATACAACATTATATCACTTGTGGTGGTGACATAAAAATTAGGCTGTTAAATTCTGTAACCTGGAAACAACCCAAGTAAGTCCATTTCAACACACTAAAACCTAAGTGAACATTTTTTGCCAGGAATAAATTTTCAGTGTTGGTTGGTTTTCGCTACAGAGGGGTAATACAGAAGTCAGTAGAGTATGTGCAGGGGAAGGGTGTCTACTAGATTCAGATGTTCGCTAGAGAGAGGTGTTAACTAAGACAGCTTTTACTGTCAAATAATTAAGTCAAAATTATGATTAAGGGGAATATGAATTTCAAAACTCTTCTCCCAGGCCAATGGTCTATGTCAAAATCCCAAACAGGCCTCTAGGACAATACTGCATATCAAAATCCAGAGCCTCTCTCTGCCTGTGGGGGTTCGCTAACAAACCTTTGAATATACTGTTGAAAACCTCATACTTTTAACAATCACATGATGACTACTAACAGCTGATGAATCATAAAACCAATAAAACTGATCAATATTCAGTGCAAAATAATAACATTGTTGTCATTGATTTTATGGTAATACTAATAATACAAAGCTTAGACAGATGAACAATTTTGCCAATTTTACACTGATCATGTCAAAGATATGAAAACAGACATGCATTACAATCCAACATTCATAAACACCTAAAATCCATAAACACCTAAAATCCATAAATCACAACAGACTATACTTTAGAAATAGAGTAACATATTGTTAAAGGAATATTCCTTGCCAAACCATCTCTCTCCTCATATGGTAGCTATAATCATATATATGCTTGCCATGTTTAGCAAAACACGCAAAATGGTTTGATATGGTCAAATTTGATCACTTAGAAATGTGATGCTCAATTCCAGTAAGCTGCCATCTTTTAAAATTTCACACAGGAAGTGATGTCATAGACTCTCAACTTTGCATATAGCATTAGGTGAGGAGCTATTAAGAATTACAAAACCAGCTAAATATTCTTTTTCAACTTTGTATCTTATTTAATCCTTCTGAAAATCTCTTCTTTTATTCTAAGTTGACAAGCCCTGAAAATATTTTTGCACAGAAAGTAATGATCACTTGTCTAGAAGTGATTTTGTGCTACTTTCCTATACTGTTATAGGCAAGGTTATAGAAGTTGAGAGTTGATGACATCACTTCCTGCAAGAAATCTTAAAAGATGGCAGCTCACTGGAAATAAGCACTTTTAAATGATCAATATTGACCATATTAAAACATTTTCCCATGTTTTGCTAAATATGGAAACTACATATATGATTATAGCTACCATATCAAGAGAGAAAGGCTCTGGCAAGGAATATTCCTTTAAGGCAATGTTCTACAATGCCTCAACCTTAATTTCAATGTAAGAACAAGTTATACAAGACCTGACATTTGATATCATAGATGTATATAACATTACTGTATCAGCAATTTAGCCTACTGCTACATGTGTATGACGAGCAAAAGTATTTTTGGTATAAAAGAATTCCATTCCAGCGTTTTGCACTGTCAACTTTTTCACGGGACTTGCTCTGTTTACAATCAGAAATTAACTAATATGAGAAGGTAAGGAAACTTACCTTGTGTCACCTTCTTCCTTGGAGAGAAAACAGATGACCAATTATCATTGAATAGATATCCATCATCTTTCTTGCCAAGAACTATTTTGTCTTTACCAATGTCTAACATTTCTTCAGAATCCCCAATGGAGTTGCTAGCTGAGCTATCATCCAGTCTTGGTGGCATGTCTCCTAACTGTAACTTAGGGAATTGTTGGTCAACTACATTGGTCTGCCAAAGGGTCTGCTCGTTGTATTTCTCAAGGACATCAGGGTGGATGAGAAGCAATGCTAGAGAAGCCATAACTAGGATGTGCCCAAACTGGAAAATATACAATGATAACTTTTTACATTATCATACTTACATAGTTATAATATTAGGTACGAAAAATTTCGAACGGAATGCGTGACATATACGTAATTCGCGTGAAAAGTCCGAACGAAATGTGTACATTTTTTTCGGCGTTCGTATTTTTGCTGTGTAGACGATCTTTTTTAGAAATTTTTCTACAGAAATATTTTTGCTTGACAATTACCAGGTAAAATGCGTATTTGCGTGACATTTTCTGTCACGCAAAAATAACTGGCGTGACTTCAAATTCTTCAGCAAATGCGTGACAAATACGCAAATTGCGGGACAGTTGACAGGCCTGTGGTATGTATACCGTATTCTCTGTAATTACCGCCCACTCTCTAATAAGCGCCCACCCCGCTTCACAAAGTTCAAGAAACATCGAGGAATCATAATAATCCATAATGAATGAAGGAATTGTTCTTTATCGGCATTCAGAAATTTCAAAAGCTACTGCGCAGATGTTCTGCGCATGTCAAGGTCGTGAACTTTCTGGTTTCTTTTTAATGTTTCTCGACTTTTACACGACTTTTGCACGAATAATGATGATCTCTCATCAAATTAGAAATAATGTATAACTTTAGATCGATATCCAGCAGTCTCTAGTGGAAATATTGAAGGTAATCAGCGATAATGACAAAGTGGGCGTGCCGGAAATAAATTAGACATAGACGGGTCTTCAACCACTGTCAATATTGTCTAAGCGATCTTTACCGTATTCTCTCCAATAACAGCACTTGTCATATTATTATAAAAATATGTTGAAGAAAATGCATTCTTGTCAAGAAAAATTGCCATACATGAAATTCCTCGGGATTTCTGATTTCTTTCATACATGGGCGCTTATTAGAATGGTCTAAATAATGTATTTTCAATTTTCTAAACGCCCTGGGCGCTAATTACAGAGAATACGGTATGTATATAGCAATAAAAGCCTTTAAACCAATAATTGGAAGATGGAGAGGAGTGGTTCTATCTTTATATGAGTCGTCATAAGTGGAAATACCCGAGAGGTTCACTTTACATGGAGTCTATGAACTCTGAGATATTGCCCCTCTAAGTCGTCATTTAAATAATTACAGGGTGTCAAATAAGTCCTGCCCCCCCCCCCTCTACAGCCAAAACCAAGATAATTGGTACCAAGTGTGATATATCATTGGAAAGGTCTTCCAAAGTTACGTTGATTGGCATATATCTGACACATGTCAATCAATTTCACAAATTTTTACATTGTATCAATTGAGGTGACCATATGCCTAGAAACATGGCAATTTTGCTTATTTGGCAGGATTTTAAGAATCTGGTATAAGAAAGGTCAAGGGACCAAAAGATGACTAAATATGTTTATTGCGATGAATTTAACCAATTTCTGGATAGGGTTAGATGTGTAGAAAATAGAGGTTTAAGGAAAGTGCTGAAAACCTTTTTGTAACAAGTGGAATGTGAAAAATATTAACTTTTTGACATATTTCTGGGGTCATATCCTTGTCATTTTGATGCAAAAAAAGCTACTTAAAGGAGGGCACGTTAACTATAAAAGACATCATAAAAATATAGGTAAACTTCATCCAAAATACTTGAGAGTTGGTAAGTTTACATAACTTTGGATGATCTTTCCAATGGTATATCACACAAGGTACCGTCTGTTAAGGTTTTAGCTGTAGCAGGGGGGACGGGACTTATTTGACACCCTGTATATGAAAATGTTACAGATTCAATATGTTTCACTCATAAAAATGATCTAAAATTATGTGATACTTATGATTATTTATCTTGTGCTAAGACCATCTCAGGCTCTGGTTTTGCAGACCTCCTATAGAACTTTATTATTTTTCAAAAGTTGAAAAAAATCAGCTCTAGCTCTGCATATATTTCTTACCTCGATCGATTTTAAACATGAGCCTGAATATTCCTTTAAAGCCAAAAACGGTATTTAAACCAGCCAGTTTTTGAAAATGTCCGCCATCAACTTCAGAAATCATTTCCGAGTACAGTTAAATAGAGACATATAAAGGCATTACCCAATCCATTGAAGGTACATTTGGTTTCTTTGTTAGCTGGTTACATTACCGAAATGAGGTTACATCAAGTTTCTTTGATACGAAGATATCCTCACAATGTAACCTCACTTGTACCCTTTGCATTCGTTTGACTTCACTTCTTAAAAGAGAGCTTCGTCTTCACTCTTTCAAACTAAAATAAACCTGTGAAATCACCGCGCCAATCAGTGTTCGTCGGCCAAATTTGACCGACGTTCTATATATGGTCATTCCTTCTGACGTCATCGTTGAGCCCGGATTTGACCAATGACATGCGCATAGAACGCATTTGGCGTATGTTTCTTCAAGCTCGCTGATTGGTGTTAGAAAGGTCAGCGCCTAGGTCAAAAGTAATTTATTACCCAAACTGTCACCAGTACCCGTCGTGGGGGCGGGGCTACTTAACTGTAATATGGTCTCTACTAGGCACAGGGTTCGAACTTAACTTTTTAGACTGGTAGTGAAAATAGTTACCTGACATTTTTTCTAGGTAACTAAATTCCAAAGTAAGGTAGTTTTTTTACCGGTTGAAAAAATTTCGATAGACACAGTTTTCCTTGACACTAAAAACAAATCTATCGATCTGTTGATCTCAAGTTTATTATAGTTTACAAAATAAACCCTCCCCCTTTAATATGACATTAAAATAAGATATAAAAAGAACTGGATCATACAGGACTATCCTTCTTTCCAGAATGATAGATATAGATATATTTGCCTGAAAAAATAGTATTTTTCTGACTCAAAAGTAAATAGAATTAGCTTTAAAAGACCTTAGAAGAATGTTTCAAGTCAATCAATTCAGAGAAAAGATGTTGTCTTATGAGAACATAAACATTGGTAGTCATGTGATCAGACCAAATTATAATAGACCAATCATGTTGTTTCAACATTCAAATTTAAATTTCCCACTATAATAAACATTCCTAAGTGGCTCAAAGTGAAAGGTCAACCTGCTTAATTTATGCAGCTGTTGCGTTTGAAAGTTTCCCTCCCCAAGATTTTATTTTTTTTATTTCAAATCTACATTGTGAAATGGGAACTGCAAACTTTATTGAAGGGGGTATGCTTATTGAAAGCAATTACTAGTATTTTTCTCAATAGATGTCTCCCTCACTCACTAATCAACAGGAAGTTAGCAATCTTCAAAAAGTATCTTAATAATACGGTGATTTTACCTGAAAATTGCCGATTTTTAAGACTTTATTTTAGAAAAATAAGAAAGTGTATGGTAAGTAAACACTTTATCTTATGTTTTGAGAAGTTATAGCCTAAAAGCTGAAGTGAAAGAGGACGAAAAGTGCCAAAGAAAAAATGTTTTATCACGGCAGCATATTTTCATTCTCAGCATTTTTTCAATTGAGAAGTTGAGTTGACGATCGTATAGAGATCTTCCCATAAACCAGGAAACTGTTTTCGTTACTTGGGCATGTTGCTAGGTAACGATTTGAGAAAATGGAGGAACGAATCGTTACTTCCGCAACGCTAATTTCGAACCCTGAGGCAGAGTGTAGTTTAACTAGACTCTGCACGCAGGGTACCTCACTTGGTAAATCTTGTAATGTACTCAGAAATAATTACCAAAATTAATGGTGGACATTTTGAAACAGTAGCCGATTAATGATTGGATACCTGTGCCATTTGAGACAGTCTCAACTTTTTGGGCTTTGAAAGAACATTTAGCATGGTGTTTAAATTGACTGAGGTTAGAAATATGTGGGTACCTAGCAACATTATTTTTCGACTTCTGAAATATAAAGTGTGGTTCTATTGTATACAGGCATATGACCAAAATGTAGATGTTATTTACTCACTTCGAGAGCCATGTTAGATTTTGAAACTTATGGCTCTCAAACGGGGAAATGGACAGCTGAATAATAGTGACCTTTTAAACACAAATTAAGTCGATCAGCTGCCTACTTTTGCATCATTATCATCCTTCCGTGCAAGTATTGGAGCGCTGAAGTACTTCCTTTTCGATCAAAACTTGTAATTGTTAGTCGAATAAATGTTTTTACTGCCAAATTCCAATATGGCATTTTTTGCTCGGACATTTCCGTGAATCTCCAGAGGTTGTTCGAACCTAATCATTCTCAAAATTCATTTCGTTCATTGCATATCTTGCTCCTAGCAAACCCCCATATTGGAAATGGGTTGAAAAAACATTCACTCGATGAACAATTTACAAGTCTTGATTGAAAAAGAAGTAAAGTGGGGGACAAAAATAAATCTCAACCCTCAAAAGTTGTCACAATGAGCTAAATTCTAAGTTTCATGTCTCAAACTCTCCCAAGTGGTAGAAAAATAATTCCCATCCACTTTAAGTAGCACAATAAATGAATCCAAAGCCTCATACCTGCAAATGATGGATAAATCCCTACCAAATCGGACTAATGTTTTCATGAATCGCCATGTTTGTGATCCAAGGAGGATTGACTCCCAGAATGCAACATCAAGTAACCTTATTTATTCGTGACGTATTTCAAAACGGCGGAATGGCATTTTGAAAGCTGACACGTGTCATGTTGCATTCTGGGAGCCAACCCACATTGCGGCGTAATCTGGCTCCAAAATCACCTCAACATTTGAAGAGTCGGCATTAACATGTGAATTCCACATCAAATTTTTAAGTTCTTATTTGTCATTATGGACACAAATTCCACTATATCTGGACTTACTATGACAGAGAAAATAGAGCACTGAATACACTGAGGTAAGAATTTATTACATATGCGACAACATGTAATTTCCATAGGTTTTGTAATTCTTTATGCCCCCCACTGTATTTCAGCGCTCCAATACTTGCACGGATTGATGATACTGATGTAAGACACAGTTAGAGACCAAAAGTAAGCCGCTGAAATCTTTATTCATATTTTAAAGGTCACTATTATTCAGCTGTCTAAGTGTGCCGTGGGAAAGCTATTGTATCAAAATTCACATAGCTTTCGCAGGAAGTAAGATGTTATGAAACCCAATGTATAAAATAAGAAGAATGAAACCAGTCCACGTATGGTGTGTCAACAATCTGAGATTTCTCAAATAGCCTATAATGTCACCAACACTAAACTCGTATGCGTTATACAGTTATTTAGAATTACATTGAGTTTAAAAGATGATATTTACCAAGATAAGGATTCCCAACAAAATTGTCCCAGTCCGAACATGACAACAACAACAGCATCTGTACTGTTTGGGGTCATCCTTCTCGAACTTCAACCGCATCGTGAATTTAAATAGCTTTTTGATGTCTTCAATAACTTATGTGTAATACGTTGGAATAACAAAACAGATCTAATTCGTTTATGAAGTCAAATTCGTAAGTTTCTTTCTTTTGTTTTTCTTTTCCTGCAAAATTTCCAAAATGGCTGATTATTTGAAATGACGTCATGATCATGTTGTATATCAGTACGCGTAGATTTTCAAAGTAGATGATCACGCCAGTTTTTTACTAAATGCAAGTGAGATCAAGTGAGCTATATAGTTCAATAAGTTCTTAATTCATATAAAATGATAATGTGATTGATCAATTTAATGCACTATTTACAATATATTCGGCACTACTTTCTACTCCCTAGAACATAGGTCCTCCCATCTTTCTTCGAACTCCTATGCAGTGTCTCGGTATATCACTGCACGGGAGTTCGATCTTTCTTTAGAAAAGAAAACCAATAGATCTATTACACACATTCATGGTGTTAGTGAAGTAGAAAAGGGGTCCACAGTCCTGAAGAAATACAGGGGAAAGCAGTGAACACAAAGGCCAAAATCAGTATAAACAAACATAACAAAGGGAGTATCAGATCGAGCAAGCAATCTTGACAAAACTTTTTCAATTTTAGAATACAAAGTTGCCGCCCAATTCCCCTGTAATTTTAGTACCATGTAAATGAATACCATAAGTAGTACATGGTAATATTGTAAGTCTGCCAAATCAAATAGCTGCCAAATGTTAAAAACATCAAATCCGCCAAAATAAGAAGCACCAAATTAAGTAGAAGTACAGCATTTTGGGCTCTCAGATCATCATTCTTTGTTGACATGTCTAATCTATTTTCTAAAAATAATTTGCAGTTTGCACCCATTTACTCATATCATAATAGGCAACCCAATGCTCCTATGATACATCTAGTAGACAATCCTATGCGCAAAATGTAACTTAATCGTTTATCCCAAACCTGTCAATTCAAAGCCTTAGTTTTTACAAAAAATCAGAGTATCAAAGTATGTATTTATGTAAATGTATCCTTCTGGTCCAAGGGTATTTCACCTGAATTTAAGCATAAATGAAGTCCTTTGAAGAACATGTCAATGGTACAAATTCGATTTCAATAACCTCCAAAACATCACCCAAGCTAGTTAATCTCTTAAAAGTTACCAGTGTTTGATTACAATATCCTTAAATTGTTGTGGTGGTGACAATAAAAATGATGACATGAATGACAAGTTAGGTTTAGAAACTGTATTTTGCCTTAGCTGTTATATGATCATCTTTGAGTGGCAAACATGTTCGTGATTTATTTCTGATATATGATTAATCTTAATACATGCAGCAATTAAAACAATCAACAGAAACTAATAAATATAGTTGGCTATTATTTATTTGTCAAATAACATAATGATGATTACATGTAGATTACAATGACTATAATAAATAAATATGCTAATTAAGTAAACATTTACTTTGGAAAGTACAGGGCTCAGTGAAAATAACATCTGCACTACAACGGGTTTCAAAACAATGATATTATATCTTTTTTATGGCAGACAGTGAAGCAAAGTTTGGAGTAAAGGATAAAGGTCTTTTACACTTTGTAAAATGCTTAAAAATCTAGTGTGATTATTCATCTTGTTCAACTGAATAAACACTACAGTAGCCAGTTTTCATGGAGTCCAAATATTTTAAGGAGGGATGTTATTGCCTATTTTACTGACCATGTGTTACAATGTGCGATGATGAAACTGGAATGACTTTGATGTGTATAAGACAAAAATTTTGACCAAACTTTTGCCAATTTCTATGAAGAGAGTCATAAAAAGGTCAAGAAAGTAGGCTAGATTTTTGGAAGATATTTAGATTAACTTCATGCGATACATACACACAGTTCTTAAATGATACTAAATATTTTCTGAATGAAACTAATACAGGAATCTTGTAGTTGTACATGTACAGTAATACAATCAAGTATACATCATTTCAGCCATTGAAGACATACTTTTAGGAATATAAACAAAATCTTCAAAATAATATGCCAGTTCATCTACAGACATTTCATCTAGCCTTGCTTCTTGTGAACAAGACCTTGTATGTGTCCCCGTAGGACTGTTTCCTGGGCTTTGTCCAATTTCACTTGGGGTATTGCCAGATGTGTTTACTGCATTGGGAAAGACAAGAGTTGGTTTATTAGATGCTTCATTCAGATCGCAAGATTTTGTTTTGTTGAAATGATCTTTAGATGCCAGGTTATCTGTAGCAACACTACTGAAATCAGTTGGATTAAAAGATGCACCAAACACACTTGATCTTGGACATATTGAATCTGTAGGACTTTTTGATTTCTGACGCGACATTGCCAGCTTGCTCGAAAACGGTGCTAATTTGGATTGCTTTGCCTTATGATATTTTAGACGAGCTGATCGAATCACATTACTCCTGTCCTTTTCCCGGGTTATTTTCAAGCGTGCCTCACGAATGATGCTAGTTTTTGCACTTGGTTCACACTTGCACAACTTTGCATAGTTGAGTTCTGGTGAAGCGCCAGACGTGATGATAGTTTTGTTACAATGACATGACTTGTTACTGCATTTTTCCTCAGTGAGAGTGAGTTTATCTATGCGTGATAAAGGGTAAGGGTCTGATTTACGCTTAGCTGTTCCACTCTTTGCCTTGCCTAAAGGTGGAGATAATTCCCTCTTGCTACTAAGTGCTGGCTTCCTGCAAACAAAGACAAAGTTTAGTATACAAATACATGTATATATTTATATTTAATTTATTTAAACTTATCAGGGAAGTTCTCTGACTTTAAATTGCATGGCCACATTCACTATTCAGTAGGATATAATGATTTATTCAAATTCAGTAACAACAGGCCTATCAGTTCACAATATTTGAGAAGAAGTACATAAAAATATCAATGATTGCCAAGTTAAAATATAGTATTAAATCATTTCATATTCATTAAGATCAACAAAATTTAGATGGATATAAATATTTTTAGAGAAGATATATAGCCACCCATTTAATCTTTTTTATATAACAAAACCTGCTATTATTCCCTCTATCATGAAGCAGTTACAATGGCACTACCACATTAACAGTGGAGACGATTAGGTCGTTTAACGTTTATTACGACAATTGACGTCATTGTGCGTTAATTGCCAGGTATCGCGTTGATTGACTTACTTCAAATTCAAATTGATTTAGACGTTATTTTCGTTGCATTTCATTTCAGAAAAATACTTTTTGGTGATATTTATACATACAGATAAGCTTAAATTTTTAATTATTTAGCATGCAGAAGAACATAGCTTCACTTCTTTCTGTTTCAACCAGGCTTTTAGAAGCAGAAACACTATAGTATAATCATTTGAACAACTGACGATCAAATATCAGGATGGCTTATTTTGCGGTAAACACACGCAAGAGAGGCATCTGGGACATGTTTATTACAATTTGGGCAAGATGTTTTTACTTTTATTTGAAGCATTGGATAGATATCTTCAACTTCCATGTGGGAATTGTGTTTTCTATGATGCAATATTTTTTTATAAAGCAATAATGAAGACGTTGTCGAAATATGGAGTCGCGACTCCATTAAAAAGTCGCAAGGACTCTATAGCATAATCATCACAGTCTCATTGCTTCGCCAATGAATTTCTATTATGGACAAATTGTGTTGGTATATTTTATTGAACAAAATTAGATTTCCATATTGATGATGAAATTAAATACAACATTTTGAATGTTTCATCCTAGAACGGGCCCGTATCGCCGATTTCTCCCGAGTGCATCTGACTAAAATAAAGTCCACTTCAGAATTTAACGAAATATCACAATTAGAAGAAAAAATATAAATTTGTTCTTCATATTTATGATGATAAGAACGTCTTTTATCATGTCCTTGAACAATTTTAATGATTGTTTTTACATTTAATATGGAATTTAATTTTTTTGAATTTAATTTTTAATTATAGTAATTGCTGAATATACGTAACACTGCGAGTCGGATCCAATTCATAATTTATGATAATGATATACAGGTTAAAAGTCAGTAGGTCAGACGATTAGCCAATGAGGGTAGCTCAAGATTTATAAGTATAAACATTTAGAAGCTTTAGATGGGGTCTTCCGGGGGCCCGGTCCGGGGGTCTTATTCATGTTCTTATTTGCAGCAGAAATCTACTTCGATTTAATAATTAATCAATCTTTTAATCAGTATATCGCAAATATGTACTACTAGTTGAACATCACATGTCATATGTTAAAAATTGTCACCTCAATTCACGGGCTTTAATCTAGTAAAGGCTAAAAAGACAAACTATCTGGGGAGTGCAGATAGTATCTAGCCGATATCGTTCTTGAAAGAGGTCCGTGATTTCAAGACGTAAGTCTGCCAGTTATGAATCGAAATACGCGTAAATAAATTATACAGCTGTTTATAATTTATAATAGACGCTTTTTATCTATTCTCACAATTTCAAACATTGACAATTTCATGAAGAAGTACTAATGAGGTAGGTACATTTCGGCCAGTTACCTTGGTAATGGGCGATAATAAAAATACGACCTAGCCCGTACGACAATCAACGTTCCCACACGTTGATTATACGATTACACATCAATTGACGCATCAATTGATTACACATGCGCAATTGAAAAACATAGAACGTCAATTAACGTAGTATCCGTCAATCAAATACAATGACGTTAATTGACGGGATAAACGTTAAATGACCTAATCGTCTCCACTGATTAATATTTGACAATTTCCTCTTTTAAAAGTAATATTCATCTCCTTTCTGACATGAACTGTATATTTTGAATATTACTGTACAGGCCCGTAGCCAGGATTTACCAGGGGGGCGGCTTTACCAAGGGAGGAGTTTTTGCCGAGGGGAGGAGCTTTTTGACAGTTTTGGTAAAAAATCATGCAAAAAATGCTCAGAATGATGAAGAACTAGATGATTTTGAAAGAATTTCTGGCCAGGGGGGGTGCGCTCTCTCCAGCCCCTCCCCTGGCTACAGGCCTGCTATATACTCACTTTGTGTGTCTTGTCCATGGAGTAACAGGATCGTGTTCACTCTCTTCGAACAGCCTTGGCTTTTTCCTGGAAACATAAAGAAAGTCCTTCTCCTAAACTGTAGTAAATGGAATACAATGGATATGAACATTTAACTTTTTGCAATCCAGATCTAATAAGTTGATGATTTGCATGTATTACAGGTAGGTTATTTTTTTAAGTTAATTATTGAGGAAATCTAATGGCAGTGCACGTACATGAATTGACACCTGACCATCACTTAGTAAGTAAAGCACTAACAATACTTTTGAATAATAAGTAATAATAATTGTCCTCCCCATAATTGAAAAAGAGGGCTGCACCAACTTGAAAATCAATTTCTTCCCAGTTGAGAAAGTTGTTAAACAATGTGTAAAATAAGAATATTATGACCAGTTTTTGAGAGTCAATCTGGTTGATAAGAATTTTACAGGTTGGGATGAAATCAGCGAAAGAACAAAGTATATTCTGAACTTAGTCTTTACTTACCATTCTGTGTCTACCTTGAGCTGTTTGAAGGCACTTTGTAGAACACTATCACAATCTTTTTCCTCAGCAACATCAGTTGATTTACCCATGTTCCTGCTTTTTTGTTTCATACAGCATTACTGAAATATAATCAAGATAAAAATCTAAATTATTCACCAAGTTGCTCCCAATTAATGCAGTGCTCTCCCCACATTGAAATCTCTGAGGCGCAGCACCTCCATGTATTTTGTAAAACAAAATGCTCCTCAATGCAATTAGATGCGCCTCAAAAAATGTTACAATAAAGAATAAGAAAATTCAAATATGTTGCACAAAAATTACAAAATTGTAAAATGGAGCACAAAAACTACAAAATCATAATATGTTACACAAAAACTTACAAAATACTAAAATGTTGCACTCATAAAACAACAAAATCCTCCAAATATAAAAATCCTGGGGAGAGCACAGAGGTTATCAAAAGTTTTATTTTGCTTTGATTTTGTGACCTGTGGTGTTGCAAGCACATCCAAACATTAAATTGATATAATTTTCAAAAATCTATGGAGATTTGCTGATTTAGAGAACTTTGTGTCGACTCTCAACCATCAAAAATCACGAAATATAGGAAGAAATATCTGCGGTAGGATTTAGCATTAAAAGTTTAGTTGATAGTTTCCCCACACATGTGTTAATTAATATGTGCAATCAAACCAATGAACTATTGAACTTGTCAAGATTTTACAATCACGTGAAACCAGTGTGAGACAAGAACCAATCAGTTGTTTATCACGAAGTTGCCATGCTCACGATAAACCATCTGTCCGCCGCAGTGATATGTTGAAGACTAGCACTACAGGTTGCAATTGTTTCCCCAGATGGGCTCACAGATCCGGAGCCAAATCCAGTCCTATTGGTAGTAGGCTCAAAGGATAAATGGGAAGATAAGACAAAAATGGTACATCAAAAAAATGACCACCCAAAAATATGACCCTCGTACTGACCTTTACTTTTTCCATCTGTCAGACATTGATTGATCAATATTTACCCTGTAATCTCTACTTTATGTATTAGTTTGAATGGTTGCATGATATCAATCACACTGTTAATCGAATTTTCCCGGGACATTTATTTCAAATTTTCAGAATGTAAAGATAATGGAGTGCTTCAGTAATTTCCAGCAATGTCCGATGTTGTTCGTCTCTCAAATTACGTCACTATTAGCAACAAGTAGCCAATGAAAGTAAAGATCGTGTAGCCTAACAAACCGTTGTTATTGTTTCTACAGGCTTTTAAAGATACGTCATGGGGTTTCTCGGTAATCTCTGATGTGACGTCATCCGGAGTGGCGTCATATTCACAGAAAAGACATTTGACTTCGGGAATAAACATTGGAACAACGGAAATAGCCGAAGCACTCCATTAAATATACGCTAGCTTATTTTATGCTTTTTTCAACAGACGCTTTCTTGAATGTGTGGCTTTACAACAGTACGCATCGTTTGAGGTATGACATGTGATATTTAATGATAAACTGACTCCAAAATCAAGGAAATATACATTTTCCGAAGATTTCGTGTCTTATCCTTGAGTGTATTTATCAGTTTATTGAGCCTAGACACCATAGAGGTAATCTGGCAGAGGTCCGTGGACGGGCTAATGAAGATGGCAACTCTTATAACAAAGTTCATGTGTTAAATCCATAGATCCCGGCCAGATTCTTTTGTAGTAGAATCAGTAGTCTAGCTCAATAATATTTCCTCAAGATGAGACACCTCAGAAAATTTCAAATTTTAAAATGACGATTCTGGAGCCATTTCTGAAAAACATGAGACAAATCATACCTCATTCGAAGGGTCTTGTTATTCTTTACCTTTTTTATCACCAATGGCCGTTATTCAAGCAATACTGCGTTGATAAGAGGCCAAAACAGTGATATTTTATCGCCGGACTCTTGTCTGTCCAAATCTGAATGTTGCTCCCGTGGTTCCAGAAATGTGACGTCATCATTACAATGATATTTGGACACACAAGAGTCCGGATTTCGTGAAAAATATTCGCCGTATTGAAAGTCAAATAACTGCATCCATAGGTTATTTACTCGAACCAAACAAGTAGAAATAGAAAGATGAAGATCTCAGCTATAAAATAAGTGCAAAATCTGTCACGGGGAAACAGGTAGCTCTACCATTTTGTATAAGGAACGTTTTGAAAGGTGGTCACTTTTTTTTCGAAATTTTCCAATTTAGTGTCGTATCTTCTATATTATTCTTTGAGCCTATGATCCTACTACAAAACGATCTGGCCAATATCTGTGGTTAAATCTGTGATTCACAAGTTATTTTTAATTTTTCATCAAAATTGACCTGTTTTTTCCAGAATCATGATCGCGTGAGAAATTCAAAGACCAATAACTTTCAAGATTACGCATAAAAAGTTAGAAAAATGATTCAGTTTGAAATTATATTATGTGGAAATGTGTTTGGTATGTACTTTATTCATTCACTTTCGCTATTTGTTAAGATATCGGGGAAGAAGTACTCACTATTTTTTGTTTTCTTCTGACGCCATGGCCGCCATATTATCTACTGACGTCATTACACTAGACGAAACACAATTTCCCCGGGAATATGAGTATGCTTATGACCTTATCATCAGGCTTATCATACACCCTTGATTTTTTTCAGTCAGTCTGGTGAGTCATAAAGTAAAATACTGTACAGTACATGCAGTCCAATGACAGATACTTTTCCCAAAGGGGTGCCCACAAAGGGGGAGGACCCCTTCATACTATGGAATGGAGTTGAATTACTATTCACAAGATTTTTTGGTCAGTAAGCCCCCCCCCCTCTCTGTATGAGCCTATATGGCTATTTGCAAAGTACATCTACCTAATGTCATCTTCAGGTCATTTTGGTCAACAACATGCTGCACCTTAACCTTTACATCGTCATTTTTTGGTTTATTTGATCTAATAAGCCACTGTAACAGACATTGTTGCTTAGTATCCCATTGATTTATTGCCTGATAACACTGGGGACAAACGTTTTGCAAAACACGTAATGCAATGGCGTCCCAGGTAATAACAATTTTGATAATTGATCATTCTAGAATAGCATGTCAGCAGCTTGAGTTTTTTACATCAAGGGTTACTGTCTGTAAAATCCCAGTGGCCGAGGTCATCTCTTGATCACCCTGGAGGTGCATGTCACAGACCAAAAAAGATTTAAAGTGCCTGATAAACTATAAAATGCGCATGCGTCCAGGTGTTGATAAACTATAAATAGCGAAAACCCAGGGTTTGTCATCACAAGGTAAGCCAGGACGTGTTGAGCAAACATCTAGTGTTGATATTGAATTTACATGTAGCCAGATAAGTTTCCTTATTGAAATTACATATAGTTATTAGCAATACTTTGTAGGTAATAATTAATAAAATATGAGTATACAAATATGAGAGAAATTGGCCATTTCGAACCTGTTGAAAGTTTGTGGCTCTCGGCTACACCGGGGAATTTACTTCCATGAGTACAGACACAAATGTGGGGCTCCCCAAGAGGTACGCGAGAAGGTGACCTGGCATCAAATGTACGACTAAATGCTTCTATCGAGTAGATAAAAGAACGAATACGACAATAAGTTATTGCAAACGACAATTCCGAGCATTCATCTCAATGAAGTATTTTGAAGCTGTGAAGAAAATATGATTTTTGTTTTGAAACATGGATTCAGATGAACGTAACTTCATTCTGACAACTAATCAAAACTGAACAAAATTGATTATACGTAACAGACGATTTATTGTTTTATAATGTTTTGATCGGCTAAACGAATGAAACCAAGAAATTATGACATGTAAAATGGCAATTTTGAAATGTAAAATTTAAAAGTGACAAACACAACCTCCCTATCCACTCTTTATGAGCCCTAATATGTACATGCAGTAGTGTACAGCTTATTATCACACTACTGGGCTTTGTATTCTAAAGCTTGTTGTTTTTAATAACAAGTACTGTTGCACTCGACGTAAATGTTTTGTGTGTGCGCAGTCAACGATAATCCTTGTTTTATCCCGGTTATATGACCTCGGCAATTATAACAAAACCGTACTAAACGAAAAAAACGCAAATAAGAGAAAGCTTTCACACACATATAAAAAATGAACTAGTCTAATCCGCCAGTATAAACTCTGTTATATACGTAGCCAGGTCGGGCGCACACTTAACTACCTTCCTCCAGGAATAATAATATTTGTTGTGTAGAATGTGAAAGTTTTCAGTTGCTATCTCATTTCTAGTGTTCATTTTTAAGAAAGGGGTAATGAAGACTAGATACAAGTGGAGAGTAAGTTTCTAAAAAATTTTGATCGAAAAATTCTCACAATTAATTCTTATTTTGGACAAAGCATTAATATGCAAAATGCCATCACCAGCCATTTGTAACAGTCGCAAACCGCTGAATGCCAAACAGCAACCACTGAACACCATTCCAAACACAAATTACCGAACACTGTCAACAAAAAAAATTGGAGACTATAACAATATGTCATCACTTGTGGTGGTGACATAAAGAAAAAAACTGAAACATTGGCATAATTCTTATTTGTCTAGATTGAGCGTAAGGACTCACTATTAAAATTATCCAAAAATGGATATTTATTGGTTTTAAAATACAATTAAAAGTACAACTAACAGTAATTCATAGTCTGTTTTATGGTTTTTTACCAGAATTTCACTGTAATATTAAACGTATGAAGAAACACTGAGACAGCAGAGAGCAGAAACATATAAGCTGTTATCACCATAAATGCAGGAATGTCCGCCATAAATAATGTTTTAATTGAAAAATTCACTGCCCCAGTAAGGAGATTGGCTAATAGGAAATAAAAGAGTCCATTTCGGTTGATGGCTGTGAGCAGACACTGTTCATCTAAAATATGTTTCTCATCTATTGCTACATCCCCAGCATTCTTTCCTGGAAACAGATGCAAAATAATCTTATTAAATTGCCAAGTTTCGAGTATTCAATCAGAATAAAGTAAAGACTAACTCATAGGGTGCATAATTAACTCAAATTCTTGTTTTATGGGCCAGGTCAAAATGGACTAAACAGATATATTTAACAGATATTTTACCAAAATGCATATATAGACAGGATTCCAAAAGGTGATAAACGTTACATAACTTTTTTAAGATGGCCACTGTTTCAGAAATTGTGAGAATATGATATATTAACTAGTCACATTAAAAAATCTGATGACCCACCTGAAGCTGTAAGTGTTGGATCTGGAATGGTTATCTGGTATATGAGATCTGCTAGTAAGAAGCTGCCAAGAGACTGAAGGTTGTACGATACCTGTAATAAGTCAAGTAAGACTGATTGGATATAGGAGTATTCCATGCAAACATTTTGTAGTCTTTATATGGTTCAAGACATTTTCAGTAAAATAGAGCATCGGTCAATGAGTTACATTAATAATCATTTCAATATTGGGGTGGAATATTCATTTAATTACTACAATGTAGAATGCAAACATACCTAAACCATTGAGCTAAGCTCTTCTTTCAGAATCAAAATCATGTTTTAACACATCACTAAAACACATTACCATAATACCCACTATTATATCAGCATATTTTATATAGTACATATATGTTTGAAATGTGCATGTGCATTCCGTACATATTGCTTTCAAATTCCGAAACTTTTAACAACACTAATTGCCTTGTCTGGACCATCCAATGTTTGTCTAGTGTAATTTCATAGCCACTGCTCAAATAAAAATCAGAAGCCTGAAATAAAATACTAACCATCCAGATGACAAATGATATATTTGCCATCCTCCTAGAGATTGGCTCTATGTGTCTGTCACATACAAAATACAACCCCCAACTAAGGAGGTCAAGTAGAACAATCTCCAACAGCAGCCACAGCCAATCCTTTAGACGCTCTCTGCAACAATGTAATGTTTTCATTCATTTTAGCATGCACTATCTTTAAAAGCATTAGATAAACCATGGGCTTTCAACTAGATAATTGAAAGACCGTGGATAAACCAATCATCCCACAAGCACATAATTAATGCATCGGTGCATTTCAAATATTTTGCATTTGTTTTATTCTGAGATGAAACTGATATACGTTTGCAATAACTTATTGTACTTCTTTGCATTGACTTGAATTCAGCATGACTTGTGAATGATATTTCTATTAATTTTACACCGGATCATACATTGTTTAACACTAAAAATGTGATCTGGCTAAGAGTATTAAGCAATGATACATATTAAATAATTTCACCTTGGCTTGAAGATATGTCTTCCAATCTGAACTCCGATGCAGTAGATAGCTAGGTAACCTAGACATGATGAGATACCTTCCCTGTTAGCATTCAAAAATCCTTCTCTGGAGTCTGAGCCATCACTTCCATGCAGGATGATGTTACGGAGGCCAGTGAACTCCAAACAGTACTGATAGACACATGTAATGAGAATGCCTAGAACTCCACTCCACACTGGAGAGAACAAAGTAAACACAACAGTGGATAAAACCTGAAAAGAGAAATACTGGCTGTCACTTGGAATTTATATTGAACTACTGTCTATATAGTAATGAGTTGACAGTATTTAGAATAGATCATGATGTACTGACTTAATTCTCGAAATCGTTGTTCCCTCTTCAAAAGAGAAGACGCGAAAATCTTTCCTTATAAGGGCAAAATATTTCCCATGATGCAGTTCGCGGAGGAACAAATTTATACTTCCTTATTTTCCCTCATAGGTTTAACATGGGGATTTTCACACCTATTTTTCAAACGATATATTCGTTCATATTCCCGTACGAGAGTACTGAAAAAATTATTAGAAACGATTGATCTCTCATTAATCTTAATATAACAGCTATTTTTTTCATTGTATTAATTCATAGCGTGGTGAAAACGATGATTGAAAAGTGAGAAAATATTCCGGAAGAGAAGGTCACGTGATCAGTAGACTAGTCGCCATATTGGAAAAAACAATTCCATTCGACTTTCAATACTTTCATGCCAATCTTACCGCACTACAAACTGCGACATCGATGCAACAACTGAATAAAAGTATTCATCTTCAAATTACATTATAGAGTTACGTTGAAAACCCACAAACAACTGAGCAGTAGACCAAAGAAGACGCGTCGCTATTATATAGGTCAATCTGTTAGTGGTCCGAAAGAAAATCTATAGTACTCGTTTCCAAATTTTGTTGTTCATTGTACAATCTTTTATTGATTAAACTCGGTATACTGACTATTAAAACAATGACAAAGAAGAATACTTACGATGGTGTCATTGTTTTATTTAGCGTGCGGGTGTAAAAACAAAATTGAGTAATTAGTTTGATTTAGAACTTTCGTGTCACGCAAATAGCTACGCGAAATGCATAGTGGGAAAATATTGACCAATCAAATTTTGTCCTTTTTGAGTGCTTTTTCAGTGCATATTTGCGAACGTTCTGATTCAAAGAGCGAACCGCGAAAAGGAGAATTCTTAGCAGTCTAAACTACTTCCTTGAACTTGAACCTGTGGCCTCCTTTTTTCATTGGACAAATTGAGCATACATACTAGGCTTATTCATAAGGAGATACTGGGAAAGGCAAATGGAAAAAAGACTGTGCTATTACAGAATTAGAAAATCAAGTCAAAATATTATCACATTTTAGGGTTTCTGAGAGATTAGAGATATTTTTCAGTCTTGGTGTGTACAATCACAAAATCAACTAGAAGTGGCTACTACAGTACCTTTACAACAGCCAATGTAAAGAAAAAGTTCCAATGGACCCCATATTCTGATACATGTTCCTGGTAATCTGTTGACTTCACTGACAACAATCTCACCAAGCCCAGAAGTATCAATGGACTGCATGACTTGATGGACCTCAGCAAACTTGATAATGCTGACCCCACTGAACTGAAATAAGAGATGAACATGTACATGAAAAAAAACATCAAGCGTTTGCTTTGAATGGCAACTTCATGACATGATCTAAGGAAATTTAAGATGACAAACACTCTTGAAAATTTAGATTAGACATCGAAGAACAATTATGTAAATAAGCTGTGGTAATAAAATTCAAATTGTTAAAAATCATTAATTGACGGAACTACATTATAGCCAATTTTACATGTTATAGATGATTCGAAGTACACATTGATTGTTATTTTTTTCTTAAAGTTAAATTCCCTGGTTAAACTGCTGTTTAATATTGCCTCAAATAATAACAAATGAAAAGAGTACATTAATTTGAACAAGCACCTACCTATGTTGGTCATGTTTTCCTTTGGCTTCCCTGCTAACAATGGCGTTAGATATCACAAAAGCTCCGACTCCGACATCCATTAATCCACTTCCATATGTTTCTACTTTGGCAAATCTCCGTGGGTATATTCTAAAATCCACTGCTAGAATTGATATGGCAGTAGCAATGTTTACATAAGCCCTAAAGCCTGAGATGAAGGGCCTGTGTGCTGACAATTTCTTATTTAGAATGTCCAAAGTATTTGTGATTGTTCCTCCATTCTTAGAAGTCTTGTAACTTGTGATGGAGCGGGAAGCTATGAGTATTCCTAATATGAACATGAGCAATGTTGTAAGAATCTGTGTTGTGTGGTCTGCCAGCAGAGTGAAGCATAGCTGAACTGGGAGGATTAGCATGGAGAAGTCAAACAACAGCTTCAATCTAAAAATGATATGTAATGTTGCCGATTATATAAATGTACTATAATATGAACAATTATATACTTTCTTTTACTTTAAAACTTATCATGATATTAAGTTTATAAAAACACAGTATAATAATTTGTCACCACTTCGTGGTGGTGATATTGAAAGAAATGGTAGAATTGGCTGATTGTTTCTGAAAAATGTTTTGAAGAATATAGTATTATTAAAGCTATCATGATTATTGTATGCATGCGTGTATATATGTACTCATATAAGGATTGGCATTTTCACAGCTACTGTAGGGCTGCATATTACATCAGCTTCCAATTATTTCCTCATCAAAAACACTTGTAGAACATTTAAAAAACTTACCCTATAAATGTTTCTGATAGCTGTGATATTCCAAACCATGCAGATGCAACATCTCTTAGTAGAACAGCAATTGGAGCAGTTGTAACAACCAGGGCAATCTCCCCTACACTTGTTCCAGTACAGTTACTCACAAACTCCTCCTTCAATTGCTTGTATAGTGCAGCATCAGCCATATTGAGTTAAAGATGATAGTTTAACTTTGAGCCTTTTGCATTATTCTTTTTCTGATATCTAAAAAAAGTATATAACATGTACAAGGTATGTTCAAGCCTTAAGAATCACTTCATTGAAAGATATAGGAATTGATGTCATTCATTTCCATAGATGACTTTTTATTTGTTTGGCTATTGACATCAATTCTAATGAAACTCATCATGAGTCAAGTGTGTCAATCTTTTACAGAGATAAATTGTTGCAGAGCGAGTCATTTAGCCTGTGCATCAATCAAACCTAAAAATAAGCAATCAAAATACCACAGTAAAATTAAAAGTAGATGGAAAAATACATTCATATTTTCAATGCAAAACATTTGCATATTTTGGATTGCCTGTGGTTTTGCTAACATATGAGTGATCTATTATATTTTTCTTTTTTCTTTTCATAAACTTTGCCCAGTTTAAGCAGTTTCACTTTCATTTTTCTTTCATGTATTCTCCCTTTTAATTGGCTCCCCAAAGGTAAAAGAAATTTCGAAGCAAATGCGTGACATATACGTAATTCCCGTGAAATTTCCAAACAAAATCCGTTCGCTTTTTTCGACATTTTTTTTTATGAATTGGCATTCATTTTTTGAACTTTTACAGAAAAACTTTTGCTTGACAATAATCAGGTAAAATGCGTATTTGCACGACATATTCTGTCACGCAAAAAGCTGGCGTGAATTCAATTTCTTCAGCAAACACGTGACAAATTGCGGGACAGTTGGACAGTAGAACTTCTAGAAGAAGTGAGTACATGTAGGTCCTTAGAGATTTCAGATTAGAATTCAGACCAACCAGCTGCATGCCTAACCCAGGCTTACTCGAGTCTCTAGCTTACAGCTAGACGAAACTTCATTGATTTCGTATGTACTGTGCTATACGCACCTACACGCACCTAGAACTCATTTTTAATAAATTTTATAAATATTTTTAAGAATATTAATCATATTTAGGGTGAAGCGTTGCTTGTCTGGATTTAGATATTTCAAAATTTCATTTCGGAGTTTGACACATGGTGAAATTTTCTCGCTGTAGCTAAAAATGGCTTCCGGTTCTGGACGTGAATAACATTTGAAATTATTCTCGCTTAAAGATTCAGACGGGGATGTGAGCTGATGTTCTTCAAATCTATACATAAAGGTATATTTCATATTATTATGCCATATTTACTGTGCGTGTGACACAATGATTTACAATATTTATAATACTAAGGCAGCTCAATCTTCCTCCTCAAAGCCGGAATATAGAGAAGGCTTTGGACCGAAGTAAACCCAGGCCGTCCAACAGTCCCGCAATTTGCGTATTTGTCACGCATTTGCTGGAAAATTTGAAGTCACGCCAGTTCTTTTTGCGTAACAGAATATGTCACGCAAATACGGTAATACACATTTTAGCTGATTATTGTCAAGCAAAAATATTTCTGTAGAAAAACGTGTGATCGCCGATACAGCAAAAAACCAAATACCAAAAAAGAACGAACGCATTTCGTTCGGAATTTTCACGCAGATACCGTATAATATGTCACGCATGTTCCTCTGAATATTTCGTACCTCAGCAGTGGTACCAGTCCCAGACTGAATGATCTAGATATATAGTCTAGTTTCACGATATGTAGGAAATGTAGGCTACACTGAAAAAAAAAATTAAAAAAATATTTAAGAATCTATCAAATTTTTCCAAAACATAAATATTTCTTACTCAATAAACATAACTTACTCACTAAACATAGCTTATATGATGCGTTGATATTTATGAACAACAAATGGTGTCAATCTTCTTCAATATCACCACATAAAATGCTTAATTTCAGTGAAAAAAGGAGAAACACTTTTATTTCTAGGTTTTTCATTTGAAGAGCTCTGATTTTGAAGAGTGAGCGACCCCAAAAGATTTTCAGTCAGATTTCTAATTCCAGGTAAAATAAGGTAAATTGTTGAATTACTAGTTTTCTTAGGCAGTCAGGATAGAAAATGAAGTTCTTAATCATAGAAACTAAAGTTGTTCAGCCACTCAGGTCAACTACATGGAAAATGGCTAAAAGTGTCAAGTACAGTCTCGTTTTTTGATTTTTTGAAACTCTGAAGTGAAAATTCAAGTTGAAGCCACTTCATAAACTTGTCTTCTTGGCCATCTCTCACACCATTGTTCTCTCCATAGGCACCAGCACAGCTCACATGCCCCAGAAAGCATAGCAAGCAGATCTTCTTATTAGTTGTTCAGAACTCGGGCTTTAGATCGTTCTAATCCGACTGCTAAAAGGTGGCGATACTGGTGCCTGTGGCACAGCTAGTAGAATTTGGAAAATGAAGAATGATAATCCACATACCCCACTCTGTGTATTCACTTGCACCCCTCACTCTTGCTACATTTTTATGGGATAGGAGATTGGGGTTGGATTCTCATTTCAGTCCACAGAGGCTGACCAGACCAATTTGTAGTAGTGTCAAAAGCTCAACAAATATACCTGGAATATTTATTGAGCTTCTGATCCCTCACTTCAAAAGAATCTTGCCGGCATCTGTGTTTTGGTCAATTCTTATCTAATCTAGATTTGTACTTGATTGATGAATGTGTAATGTCTGTCATTTCACTGATTATTACCATCTCTGTTTTAGAGGCTGTCATCTCATTTTCTAAGTCAGACCAATCAATCATGTACCCGATTTTTTGTTACCCATCATCTGAATAGTAGGATATGTAATTTCTAAAAGATCGGAATGACATGTAACAACCTCAAATTGAGGTCAGGAGGTGATGGCCCATGCAGTGAGATCTCCTATTCTATAACATGATGTGTTGTTATTTATTTGTAAAAAATGTATTTTCATGTTTAATTGTTAATGCCTTGTGTTAAATGTAAGTTGATGGTTATGTACCCCATGACCAAGTTCTTTTACCATTTTGTCTGCCTGAGGTCAAATAGGAAATTCATGAGATCAAAGTCAAATTCCAAAACTGCCTGAAACTTCATCTATGATTGTACTTATATTTATAATTTTCATTTCTATTTTTCAGTTGATGAATGATAGGTGACGTAGTACTATAGGGGCATTTCTGATAGAGGCCTTAGCTACTCCATGTTGCAGCATTGGTGCATATATACGCACACATCTTAAATGCAGTCATATTGGTAATGCAACAGTACATGTCCAAGCATGAGTTGTATATTGGAGAGTTTACGATGTAACCATATAGCACATTCACATCGAACATTCAAAAAGTCAATATATGAACATCCATCTTGCAAGTATCTGCATACGTCACATGTTAGCCTTGCTAAAGAGCCAGCAGTCACCTTTTATGATAACGAAGGAGCTAAGGAAATAGACTACTATGAGGTATTTGAGGGCAGTGACAGAAAGGGTAAGTGCTTATAGAATCCTTTTATGTTCCAAACAAATATCATCAGGCCCGTAGCCAGGGGGTGGTCGATGAGTTTGAGCAATCCCCCTGGCCAAAAATTCTTTCAAAATCATGCAGTTTTTCACCATTCTTCTTCTTCGTGATTTGGGCCATTTTTTGTTGATGTTGCATCTTATTAAAAATAAACTGAAACTTCTCAATTTAAAATACAAATGTTTTGATAATTGTTTCACGACCATTTTTGTGACATATTGTCATGTGACATATTGAGATGTTAAGGCCTTCTTTTAGAGAGACTTCGGAAAAGAAAAAGACAGCGGAATCCCCAACTACCAGAATCTGTAACAACAATACAAGTTGAAGATCATGGAAGTGTTCACATTATGGGCTGTAACCATTTCAGTTCCAAGAGTCAGGGGGATGTTAAATTGGTAAGTTGTTAAATAAAGTCAATTATGAATCAATTTCAAATGTAGGTTCTATGTCACCAGGATGAGTGTCTGTAACAAATGGCAGGTGGTGACATTTTGCATGTTAATGCTTTGTTTGCACTTTGAACATCACACTATCTGTTATATGTTTTCAAATGTCCCTTCCGGTCATTTCAGGTAATGGAGCTTACTCAGCCAGATATTGCAGTGCTGGAGTCAGACAGGCATGGTGTAGAGGAGGCTACAGAGCTATCCCAAGATGCAACTGTCTCAAGAATGCAACAATTTAGCTTACCTATGTTGATGTTCCAATATATGAAGGTATTTGCATACCCCGAATATATATACATTTTTATCCAGATCATGAAAACCATACAAGATAATGTGTGAAGTTTTTATATGACGTGATAATGTCTATTACTGTGCATATAATATGAGAATTTTAACTATTGTTGCTATAATATTTTTCATACAGAGAGATTATAAGGAAAAATAACAATTCTTTTTTCAGCAAGGCACATTTGGAGCATTGGGTTACTTAGAAACTATAAAATTAATACAAAAGTATCAAGTTTTGCCTGGATCAGAATGGAGAACGGCATATAAATGTGTAAGTTAAAATAATATATGTGTCGTGTAAAAGTGGATAAAATACTCCAGGGGGGGGGGGGGTTCACAGGGTTCAGGCAAACCCCCCTTCTGGCCTAAAATTCTTTCAAAATCATGCAGTTTTCACCATTTTGAGCACTTCTCAAGTGATTTTAGCCATATTTGGGCCAAGATTGTCAAATGTGAACCCCCCTGGAAATTTTTGAAAACTGAACCCCACCTCAACAAACCCTGGCTACAGGCCTGCAGACATAAACTTCATGTCCAAAATATTTGTTTATTACCCTTTTTCATGTTTCCCCATACAATATTACGACATACATTATTTACCATACAATATTTAAGGAATAAATAATGATAGGCCATTCAATATGGTGAAATTCAGCACGAGTTGGACAGAATGTTGTACAAAGCACGAACCGAAGGTGAGTGCATTTGTACTAACATTCTGTCCAACGAGTGCTGAATTTCACCATATTGAATGGCCTATCATTATTTATTCCGATTCAAACATAAAAATTAGTAAAAGCCGTGTCTGTGGAACGGGCATGAAGGAAGAATACGCATGCTGTCAAGATTATCCCCGGACAGAGCCCCAGATGTGCAGCTGAGATGTGACGTCACTCAAAACAATGCAAATTGCAGATTGAATAGAGCATGGTCGTGCATCTATGGAGAATTAGAGAACGTTCTATATTGGCTATGCTGCATTCTGATTGGTTGAGAAATTCGAATAGAGCACGGTCATGTTTGAATACTTTATACAATTTTACCACATACAATATTTCCCCATACACTATTTCCACATATTTCCCATACAGTATTACCTCATACATTATAACTAATGGGTTATAGGCAGGGACCATACCTGGCTGTGCTGTCCACCTGGGAGACATGCCTGCTGATATTTCTGCTGCTAAGATAAAGGCTACTAATCTAGGATGGAAAATAATATGGCACATGTTAAAACATCCAAAGTAAGTTTATTGGAGAATTTGAAAAATAGGAGAAATGTCAAAGTATAAATGAATGCTTTAAAATTGTATGTTTATTTCAAATTGCCCATTTTCCTAGTTATTCACTGTTTTGCACAGCAACATATATAATTCAAACATTCCAAGTGTGTCTCAATCAGAATATTCCACTGCGTTAGCTTATCAGTAGATCCAGTAAAATTTTATTTTCATAATCGGAGTATAGTGTGGCTAGCTGATGGGACACAGGTACCCCTGCTGTTTAAATAAGATCATCTGTTAATACATGTAATTTTCAGGTTAACAAGGTCAACCAACAGGTCACAGCTGGCAGAGGATATAGATGGACTTGTTAAGAAACATGTAACGCCAATTCTGATCCATGAACGAGATCTGTTTCTCACATATAACATAAGAACTGCTGCTCAACTACCCAAACACCTTAAAGGTATGTACATTCTTGAAGAATTCTTTTATCATCCTAGATCCAATAAAGTAAATGCTGTTGAAACTTTTCATAAGTCTTCACATTGAACAATGTTAAATTCAAGGAGATGACACATACTTGTATATGCAGGTTTTACAGTACTCTACTTGTTTTTATCCCTTGATTATTTGGCTTTTTGCCTCATTTGGTGAAATTGTGTACCCATCTGTCTATCTGTCCATCTATAAACAATTTTTTGCACAAATGAAAACTGTTTTTCTTCTGAACTAATGATTTTATACATTTTAAGGGGTCCCGGCTCCTAATTTGGCCTCATTTAGTAAAAATCACATTTTTTTCTGTGTGAGGCCAATAAATGGTGTCATTTTGTTAACCCTTGCATGAAACATCAATCGTGACATATCTTCACATCCATCGATAATCTCATTATATATTTATTACATTTTCTTGATTTAGGTGTGATTGAAGGGCCAGTAGTTGTAGCTGTTGTAGGTAAAGACCATGTAGCAGGGATTGTGGAGAGTTGGAACAAACACATAGACATAGACTCACTTTGCAGGTCAGTAAACTACCTTAGACTTTACCATACAATATCTTTATACTCTTTCCCTTGATCAAAGGGGGTTGTTAGGAGCTCAGAATTTCTGGGTTCTTTTCTCTGATTTCATGGAGTTGGCAATATTCACTGCTCTACAGTTAAGACGAATGGCACTCTGTTATCAGTCTTAAATATGGTGTTTTTATTTCTAACATGTCATGTCTCATTGGAGTTACATGTAAGCCTCAGTCACATTTGATCTATGGCTACCATATGGTGGCTGTAGTTTCCCAAAATTGATAAGGGATATTAAAAGCAGTACAATGTAGATTTTCTATATCGATTTTGTGAAGCTACAGCCGCTGTACACCCTCCGTAGAGCAAATGTGACTGAGGCTTTACTTTGAAACATTTGGATCAGAAGGGAATGATCATTCAAGGTAAATTTTACAAAATGGGTTAAGTGTAATGTAATTATCATTTCAGGAAACCAAGACCACCATTATTTGGAACAGTATTGAAATGGACTATAGGCATTACTGCAGTAGTGGGGCCTACTTGGATATTTTATAGAGCTTTCAAAAATAGACTTACTATAAACAGAATGGAACAACAGTTTAGAGATAGCTGATAACTTGTAGTAATTATTTATTGTTGAATTGTAGAGAATTAGAATGACACATAAATGTTGATGTGTATCATTTCTTGACATTCAATTAATCGTGAGTCATTTTTTATCATTAGTTTTAAGCCTGTACGTTGGTTCCTCGGCCATCGGAAAATGTAAACAGTTTATGATACAATAAACATAAATACATGTTTACAAGTATTGTTCAGATTCCCTCTCTTCCATAAACATAAACTTTACACAGAAAATAATATCATCAATACTCAGTCATTGATCTTAATTTAATTTCACGTGTATTTATTGTTGACATTTGCTCCACTGTCGCATGGTGCCATTCTGGTTTTGGACACTTGTGGGGGCCATCTCTGGTACAACTTCTCCATGTTTCACATTCCTGATGCACCCAGTGAATGATGCAACGATGCTACTGAGTATGCCACTCTGGAAACAGTTCATCATAGTGTCTCATAAATATAATTATAATATATGACATCATTTGAGCTGTGTACAGTGCAATGTGCTCATTCAACACCTTATTAGATAGTAACAGTTTCAAATTCAGGCCCATAGCCAGGATTTGCCAATGGGGGTTCACTTTTTGAAAAATTCCAGGGGGGTTCACTTTTGACAATTTCGGTTCAAAAATGGCCAAAATCACTTAATAAGTGCTCAGAATGATGAAAAACTGCATTATTTTGAAAGAATCTTTGGCAAGGGGGAGGTTCTCTCGAACCCCCCCCCCCCCCCTGGCTCCGGGCCTGGAATTAATCCACCGTTTTACACATTCCTTACTTGATTAGTTGTCAGCTTGGCTGCTCCAACAGTTGCCTTGTTGAAGATCTCTTGGCATGATCCATGGGTAGTTTCACTGTCCTGCATGTTCTCTGAGGCGCCATTCAACATCCTCCAGTCAAGTGGAACTGAGATCTACAAATATGGAAAATAATTGAAGATGATGATTACCCAGTCCCAGATGCAATGAATTAACTTAGATTTTCTGATTTACCAGTTCCTGATTTACTTTTTTAAAGTTACATCTCATAATGTGACATCAAACTAATTGCACCATTAGTGTTTTGTGGAACTGTTTGCAATTTGGTGGTCGGAAGAACTGAAATTTCTCAATGGATTAAACCAACTCTAATGGGCAGATATTAAAGTGCCACAATGAGAATCGACGATGTCCCAAATGAACAAAAGAATCACCAAACATTTGAATTTATGACAGAAGAAAATGATGTTTACCAGGTAAAAACTGATCTGTTGATAATCATCAAGATAGCCCCTAATCATAAAGAACATAGGGAAATTATAAGGAATACATGGGGAGTCAATTGTGAAATGAATGGATTTAGTATAAGTCGTATATTTCTATTGGTTGACGGTGGCTCAAAAAGTGTAAATGAAGCAATTCAAAATGAAAGCAGAATTCACAGATATATATATACAACATGACTTCTTAATAGATACATATAGGAACCTTACATTTAAAGCATTGATGGGCTTAAAGTGGGGGACAAATGCCTGCAAAAAACAACATATATCCTGAACACTGAGGACAATGTATTTGTTAACATTCCTTTAGTTATTGAACTCATTATTAAGGAGTTAGAATCGAGTGGAAAACTCCAAAATCACCTATTTTGTCATATTAATGTTAAGGTACAACCGATTAGAAAACCTAAAATTAAGTGGTACGGTATGTCCCGAAAATGGAGTATAAACATGGCATGTATATCCCAATTATTGTCTCGGAAATGCTGTCTTGTACACAAGACATGTTGCCCTTGCAATTCTCAAAGCATCTTTGACTCCACCTTTTTTCTGGCCTTGGATAGATGATGTATATGTTACAGGAGTTTTGGCAGCTAAAGCTGGAGTACACCATACTCACAAAAAGAATTTAAAAAAAAAGTTTCAACTATGCATGTCTAATCAAAAGAAATGTATGGCGATTGAAGTGGATAATATTTACACTTTGGAAAACCATATACTATAACATAATTAAGAAAATATTCTATCTAGAGGGGATTTTATTGTTTATGTAATGCTGCTTTGTTTTAGTACCAATAACATAATAGGTTGTACGGTGGTGGGGGAAAATTTTGTCATTAGGTGTCCTTATACTGAATGTTAAAACCCTCCAAACTTGTAGCAACTGATAAGGTTCTGGTAAAATTCAAAACACCGAATTTGCCTTTCCAGTTGCCAACCTTATGGAGGGGGACGTAGTTTTACTCGTACCTCATGCCATTCTCCATCATCGTATCGTGTGTTGGATTGTTTAAAGATTATTTCCTTCTCTCCACAGTTTGCCATATAGACAAGTCTTCCTTCCTTCAGTGCTACAATTATCACACCTTTAGCTTCTGTTGTATGGAAGGCAACAATCGACCCATCTGCCACTGTTGTTTTAAATTCAAGACCAAAAACTCGACTAAAAAGAGAATTTGAATGAATATTCATTATTGTAATGATCCAGAATGCACAAAAGGAAAATTTGAAATTCTATACTATATGCATATTATATGCCCCTAATCATAAAGAACATAGGGAAATTATAAGGAATACATGGGGAGTCAATTGTGAAATGAATGGATTTAGTATAAGTCGTATATTTCTATTGGTTGACGGTGGCTCAAAAAGTGTAAATGAAGCAATTCAAAATGAAAGCAGAATTCACAGATATATATATACAACATGACTTCTTAATAGATACATATAGGAACCTTACATTTAAAGCATTGATGGGCTTAAAGTGGGGGACAAATGCCTGCAAAAAACAACATATATCCTGAACACTGAGGACAATGTATTTGTTAACATTCCTTTAGTTATTGAACTCATTATTAAGGAGTTAGAATCGAGTGGAAAACTCCAAAATCACCTATTTTGTCATATTAATGTTAAGGTACAACCGATTAGAAAACCTAAAATTAAGTGGTACGGTATGTCCCGAAAATGGAGTATAAACATGGCATGTATATCCCAATTATTGTCTCGGAAATGCTGTCTTGTACACAAGACATGTTGCCCTTGCAATTCTCAAAGCATCTTTGACTCCACCTTTTTTCTGGCCTTGGATAGATGATGTATATGTTACAGGAGTTTTGGCAGCTAAAGCTGGAGTACACCATACTCACAAAAAGAATTTAAAAAAAAAGTTTCAACTATGCATGTCTAATCAAAAGAAATGTATGGCGATTGAAGTGGATAATATTTACACTTTGGAAAACCATATACTATAACATAATTAAGAAAATATTCTATCTAGAGGGGATTTTATTGTTTATGTAATGCTGCTTTGTTTTAGTACCAATAACATAATAGGTTGTACGGTGGTGGGGGAAAATTTTGTCATTAGGTGTCCTTATACTGAATGTTAAAACCCTCCAAACTTGTAGCAACTGATAAGGTTCTGGTAAAATTCAAAACACCGAATTTGCCTTTCCAGTTGCCAACCTTATGGAGGGGGACGTAGTTTTACTCGTACCTCATGCCATTCTCCATCATCGTATCGTGTGTTGGATTGTTTAAAGATTATTTCCTTCTCTCCACAGTTTGCCATATAGACAAGTCTTCCTTCCTTCAGTGCTACAATTATCACACCTTTAGCTTCTGTTGTATGGAAGGCAACAATCGACCCATCTGCCACTGTTGTTTTAAATTCAAGACCAAAAACACGACTAAAAAGAGAATTTGAATGAATATTCATTATTGTAATGATCCAGAATGCACAAAAGGAAAATTTGAAATTCTATACTATATGCATATTATAATTTTGTTCATCACAAATATTTTGCCTTTTTGTGTGTATGGATTATTGTGGTGTGTACACAGTATTCAGAGCATTGAAATATCAGTTACTGCAAGATTGTGCATATCGGCTCAGATATCGGGTCTAGAGCAGACCCACCTTTCTTGATTGGATTCAGGATTTGTTATCTCATCATCCAAGATAAACTCCATTGGTTCAGCATCTAGTCCACCATCAAACATTGCACCATTTTCCTGAAGATCTGTTTTAAACAAGGTCTGAAACAAAATGAGATATAACTTATAGCGTATTATCACTTGGTGCAAATAAGCCTAAATTTGCTGCAAATGTAGAAACAAAAAGCAGAAAACTGAAACAACAAATTGTTTCATAAACCACCATGTATACTGTGTATAAGCAAGATACATGTAGTCATTAAGATGTACTTCTGAATCAAACTTTAATTAATGTAATTTACTTTTATTGTTGTGACATTTTATTGTATTTCAGTTATTGTAAAATACATTTTGAAATTTAAAACTAAATTCATTCATGTAAACTAAAATGCTCAAATATGACAAATACAGGGCTGAATGTAGTGCTATTGTAACTTAGGCTATACAAATTCGCATTTTATGAAGAATTAACAAATTATTGTTTATCACTGGTAAAGAAGAAATACAATGTGTGATGAGATTAAAATGAAGTAAATTTTGTCTCTTATCAGCTGTTATCATTTAAAATAGCTTCAAATGTGTCCACTCAACATTTGTGACCACTTATTTATATTCTCTTCAGTTTGTGTCTTCTGAATTAAAAAACAAAAAATAAACAGCTAACCTCATCGAAGAAGTCATTCAGTGGCCTGCTGATAAAATCAAATGATTCCTCATCCTTAGCAAGACAGTTGCGCTGCGGGAATTTGTGGCACAGAAGTTTACCAGGCCATGGTCGTGCCCGAATCCTTAACATTCTTGCGCAGCTTTTGTACACATCTAAACACATGTCTCTGCAGGGCCTGGGTGACTTGATTACATCAGGGATTCCCATGGCTTCTACGTGGGTCTGGGAGCATAGTGGCACTTCCGTTGCACATATGAACTTGAGAAGATATGGAGAGCATTGAGAACGCAAGATTGGTGACATTTGTTGGAAGATTGTCAGTCTGTGCTGCCGTATGATCTCCACAGATGTTGAGTTGATTCCCCCAGCATATTGTAATTGTTTACAGAATGGTTGGACTATTGGATGACATTGATCCTCATCTCCTTGAACAAACAGTAAGACAGCCAGCACCAGAAATGCACCAAAGAAACTCAAAATCTTCATTCTTGTTTCACCCTGTATGTTCTTCTTGAATATGTAAAATTATTAGTATACTAAAATTTAGAATTCTCAAAGTGAAAGTTGATTATGTTATCCTCAGACTTGTATTGTCCTTGTGTTCTGATGTCTAAAATGTCTGAGGAACTGAGTTCAAGTGAGGTTTTGTGTGATTTAAGGCTAGGCATAGATCCGCATTTTGTGGAAATTGAAATGACCTCAGAGCTTTAAATGAGAAATGTATTTGTAATGAACAAAACAACTCCATTCTGGAAGTATTTTGTCATCATTTGTCAGATTTGATTAAGACTAGAGTATTGTGTTAAGGGATCTTCTGTGACAAAAACAACTGTTACAATGTGTTAAGTATTATATTTTACTAAGTCAGTCCCACATTATGAATCATACAAGGCATTAACATACAAAATGTCACCACCTGCCATTTGTTTCAGTTGCCAACTGCGGAATGCCACCTGCTGAGCACAAAAAAGTTGGAGCAACAATATACATGTATCACTACTTTTGGTGGTCATATAAATCCATAAAAATAAGAAAAATCAAACAAAAAATTTGAGATAATTGTTCAGTAATTTATTGAACATTTTCATCCACATATGAGATTATATGTAAAATACTAAGGTTCACTTTGACCTATGTGTTGGAAGCGCACTGTGCAACGTTCTTCAGGCTAAATGTGTTTTTCAAATAGTTCACTGGTCCCTATTCATATTGTATAACAATTGAATCTAATTTGCAGATTTGTAAGAATTATTAAATCAAACATTTGAGTCCATCTTTTTCTCGGGCTTGTTCTGTATCAAGCTACATTTCTTCATAATTGCCTAATTTGTATAAAGGCAGTTAGCACACATTGTGAAATACGATTACAACGCATCATGTCAAAATGAATTTTAGAATTATGATCAAAATACTACTATTTTAGTTTGAATAAAAGACCCTCTGCTGTCTAAATTTGGGGTCAAGGAGATTAAGTTATTTTTAAGGCAATATCCCTTAATAAACTGCATTTGAAATGACTAATGAAAAGCACCCTAATGTAATTGTACCCAGTATTTCTAGCTTTATGTAGATTACATGTTTGCACATTAAAGCGATTTAAGCCAATCTGACATAACAAAATACTTATTTAAGTTCTATATATTTATGTAGTTTTTATTTGTCATTTTTATTCAATATTCACCAGTGGATACTAAGTGAACCGTACATACATGAACAGCCTCTTTATTGAAGCAGAAAAAAATTATCTGTTAACACATAGAAATATCAACCCATTTGCTGCAAAATTGGGTTTGAAGCATTTTCTCGGAATCAAATGGCCAATTACTGCAAAGAAATGTTTTCCTTTACTGCATTTCACTTAATAAATTGTTTATAGTATAAACTAAAATCCAAATGTTCTTCTCAATTATTGGAAATTAACATTGCTTTTTTACTGCAGAGAAGTTTCATCATTTTTACTGCATTATTCTCTAAATCATAATTTTTTTCATTAAGCAAAATCACTTTAACTGCAATGGAAGATATCGTTCCATTTACTGCAATGGAAGATGTCGTTCCATTTACTCCAATGGAGGATGTCATTCCATTTACTGCACGCAATGGAAGATGTCGTTCCATTTACTGCAATGGAAGATGTCGTTCCATTTACTGCAATGGAAGATGTTTCATTTACTGCAATGGAAGATGTCGTTCCATTTACTGCAATGGAAGATGTTGTTCCATTTACTGCAATGGAAGATGTCATTCCATTTACTGCAATGAAAGATGTCATTCCATTTACTGCATAACAAAATTGGACTCTACATTTTCAATATTTGCAAGTTAGGTAATACCAATAAACAGAATCTATACCTAACACACTGGTTTAGTATATTCATTGCACTGATTGCGCTGGTGCAATTTACTGGATTTAAGAATCCAAATCACAGTTCAAACAAGTTCAGTCCAGAATACAGAAGCTCCATATAATAGTGTAGTGTTGTGTTGTAGGCCTACACTATGCATGGATATATGCATACTGCAGGAGTAACCATTCTTAGTTTAAAGTTAAATAAATTACAATACAGCAGTTTAAATGACTTGTATTGTATCAGACAAAACAAAGGAAATTGAGTATTTCCAAATGTACTCTTGCACCAAAGCTCAAATCCTGCACCCCTTCCCTCTATTCTCCAACTAACCTTTCGCTAAATGGAATGAAGGGAGGGGGTGCTCAAGGAGTTGATACAACACTACCACACCGAAGACCTAACTAACAAAATGATCAATAAGCGATATACAGGATGTCCATAAAGCTTCTTTACACAGACTTTGTATTGTAACTTTGAAGTGACTTTACGGACACCCAATATACACATAATTACACAGGGAACTGAAGATTAAATGCTATTCACTAACAATGGATAGTAATCACATTCAGTGTCCATTATACGCAGTCTTCTACAATTCAGAAACTTGTAGACTTGAAAAACAGGACAAATCAAAAAACTAAAATATTCCAACTAAACTAACATTTAAATATGAAAATCTGTCCAGTCATATTTATAACAAAATATAAAAATAAGTTTCACGATCTGAGCCTGGTCAATCAATACTAATAGTCTGTCCATCTTAACATGCTTGACATACAATGATAATTTGGCAAAACTCACTAGTACAGCTTTCCTGAAATACCTCTATTTACATAAACTAAAATAAATTATTACATAAGTAAAGAACAATCATAATTATGCAATTATGTTATTTCTCCAGTAGACTAGCTTGCATCAACCCTTAATCCCAACTCTGTATTCCTAGCCTAAATGTCACATATAACCAATGTTTCAAGGAATTTGGAACAAGGGGAAGGATAAAAAAAGGATTTGATGCATAACTATTCACTTAAATGAACAAATTAAGTTGTTCTGGAAATTACAAGTCTACTTGGTATGAAAAACCTATTATGGAAATGATGACAGAAATTGTAAAATATTGTTTTAATTCAAATTATTGATTTGCTATTGAAGAAATGAGGTGTTTTGTATGTTTTGTATAATACTGTTGTTTAAATATACAAAATATAAACATGAGATATGTACAGAGTACAAAAAGAAAAAACAGTCGCAGAACAAATATATATAAGTAGAAAGGTACATGTTCCTTCAATGCAGATAATTTGCGTGCTCTGATATAGTTCCTATTAGCACAGAAAAAATTTTCAGGTGAAAGACGCACACAGACAGTGTCAGAACAAAGTTCTAGACTATGTTATATGCTCAAGAAACTATACAGTATAAATACGCCTACAGCTGCTAAACCTACATGGTAGATTGATTATCCAATAGGAAAACACATCAATATAAACAATAGAAGCCCTACAATCCCAGAATTCATGAAAATCTGGGAGTGAAGTCCCTCCATCATGTCTATGATACTATATGACTTTACAACACTTCTTGTCGAACTTCAGATTATACAAAAGCTACCAATCTCTGCCAAACAAGTATTCCATTAACAACATTTATTTGCCCAATGTGAATTTTTCTGACATGAACACTAACTGGATTTCAACATATAAAGCGTATATAAATATTTCCTTTTAATTATATAGTACAACTTTTAAATGGTAAACAAATATCAAAACTGGGATTTATTTACATCTGTGGTTTAATAGTATACAGCATGATTCAAACAACTTGTAACTTTTCATAAGCTAATCTTCATGATAAACAATGTTCCGTAATTACGACCATATGAAATATGAAAACATGGCATTACAAAATGCTCAATCAAAAATCTATTTACCACAATATAATTGCAGTTATGAGTCGTATAATTCTCTGGTACCCTGGGTAGTGGGTACATTAATCATTTTCCTGCTTTTTGGCCTGTAACATGATTTTCTTTTATTTATGATTTTTATGAAGCTTTTTGATCAATCATATAAGTATGAAGCACAATTTTTTCTATTTTTAAGTATCATTATGAAACATTTTCAGAGAATCGTGACCAAACACTGAAAAAACGAATGATTTCTTTGACTTTCCATGTATAAATATTTTAAATTCCAAATACAAATGCAACACTTGGACTGAAACTGCTAGCTCCTGTATAACCCTGACCCCGTCATTTTTTCTCCTCCTTCGCTTTCGAGTCCTTTTTCAATACATCCAGATCAATTTCGATATCGGGGAGCGGCTCCCGCCAATATGTAAATGTGCTATATTCCTTAGGTGCATGAAAATGCTGACCTGGTTCTGGTCCATCAACTGTATCATGTACAGGTGGGAAGAAGTGATCCACGACGTCATTGAGACCGGTATATGATGTCTGAAAGGTTTGCGAGAGTTCATGTTTCACCTCTCCACGGTGATTGATTGTGAAAATATGTGTACGAGGTATACCAACTGCTAAGTATGTCCAGACATCCTGGAATATAGATTTCATCAACATTTACAAAAATGACTAACAATTACATGATGCATTGTTCTTTGAATAAATGCACAATTTGTGAGATGTTAATTTATAATTGTTTCTTCAAATTCACTGATTGTATAGTGATATTTATGACATGAAAAACTGAAAATTAACTAAAATGTTATCGCACATTAATGAGCAGGTATGACCTTGATAAATAAATAAAATTAAAAACAGTTTCCGTAAAATGACCATCATACATTTTTTTCATCAATAGGACTGAAATGTATACTTACATTGACTTTGTTGCCATAGCCTGCATAGAATGGGTTCCTATTACTAGGAAAGAGAGTGGCAATATCTCTAAGACAGGCAATTTTGAACTCTTCAGGCTTCTTCTCAATCACCTCTCTGAAACAATACATTGGAACAACTGTTTAATCAATGACTAAGGAACTCAGCATTTATTGCATCAGATTTTCTTCAGAATTATTCCTGTACAATTGTTTAAGTGGTTGAGTGCCAAAATGTTGATCATAGGCTTTTCAAAGTTATGATGTAAACTGCCAAGATCAGCCAAGAGAGCTTAGTATAGTATGGATCACATAGACACAGATTCTTTAGAATTACACAGGCAGGATTGTTAAACTAGTGAGCAATAAGAGCTGACCATGTCCCGTGTATGAATCACATTATCACAATGACATTATATTATATTCACTACAATGTACAAAAGAGCCAGGATGGCAAATCCCAGAGTCCAACAGTATTTTGATTAATTTCTCAGTTTATTTTTACATCAATGGCAGTATGTGTCCTTGCAAAACCAGAACTAAAGAAAAAGTGTAGACGAAACTTACTTCTGAAATGCAGTGACAAGAGAAGAAGGAGACAGGAACATGGGACCATCAGGCAATGCCAACTCCCCTTGGCGGATGCTCTTCAGATAATCCCTGGTAATCTTGGACTGTCCTATGGCACGAGCAGAGAGGTACATGAACCTGTAGCCATTATTCTGCACTGATGTATATAGAGATGTAACACCAATCTGGGACCAGTCTTTTCCTATCATTGGTAATACTTGGCCAAGCACATCCGACCTAGAGGAAGTAATATACATATATGCTTATAAAAATCAAAACTACAAATGTATGTTTTTATTTATGAGACTTAACATAAGTAACATTTTAAATACTAAAGTACATCATATCTTATTTCACTTTAAATTAAAAGGTTAACATTGTAATGTCATTTTACCTTCTAATATGCACTAGAAAAGTACATATAGCAACAGAAATATTACAGTGATCAATCAAAAAGAATAAATATCAAAACAGGGTATTAGCATGCAAAATGTCACCACCTGCCATTTGTTACAAACACCGAAAGCTAAACGCTGTCCACAAATAATTTGGAAACTATAACAATATGTCACCACTTGTGATGGCATAACAAACATTATACATAGAGATTGAATGCTCACTTGGTAATGGTCCCATCAATGTCAGAGACGATGATCTTGTCATTATAATTCCAGAGATAGATATAGGAGGTGCAGCGACTGGTGCCCTGGTACTGTGTAGTAACTGAGTAAGTAACCTCATTGGGACCTTCCTTTAGGTTAAGGGCTCCCTGAGAAAAAACACATTTTCAAGTTATAAGGGGGAAGGATGAGAATTATGTTTTTCAAATTGTATACACATGTTCTGAATTCATTATATTGTATTTTATTTCAATGCAACATCAAATTCATGGAATTGAATATTAAACCAGACAGATTGGTCACTGCTAATTTACACTTTATAATTATTAGTAATATAGATAGATGGCATGACAATCTTAGTTATATGAGTTCAATCTACTTGAATGAAAAACTGTTAATCAATTCCAAAGAATACTCAAAAACTCTAGATATTTTGATAGATAAATATATTTATGAAATAGGTAGGGCTAAAAGCACCAATATTAAGTAGCCCCAATCTAAAATTCTAATCAATACTTAATCTTAGCGTATTTTCATCCATTTTCAATATCCAACTCACCAGTTGTTCTGAGGTGAGCCTAACAGATTTTTTGAATGACTCGTGATGGTGATATTTATGTGGCACTTTAAGTCTGGATGTAGACTCCTCCAGCTTGGTAGTATCTGATGGCACAGAGGTCCCTCTCTCACTACGATCTGACGTGTCACTCTCATCATCACTACTATTCGTAGATGTTGACTCATCTTTGGTCTCAGGTTTAGCTTTAGACCTAATAACAGAAATTTCATAATTCAGGCTTTATCTTAATGTAAAAATGGAACATGTGGTTTAATATTTCCATGTTTCATGTCCTTTTAGATAGGAAGGCTTTCGAGGATCTCTGGAAATTCCCAATAATGTTTGGAGCTCCACTACTTGAACATTTACTTTACTGTTTCGTTAGTACTATAAATGAATATTTTGCATATGGCTTACCGTTTCTGTTTCTGTGGTGTGTCAGGTGGACTTGAGGGGGCGCTGGAGGCAAGACTTGTCACATCATCCTGTAACACGTGGCAATAATTTTTAAAGGTGCTTTCAGTCAATAGTTCAATGCAAGAAATCTCTTACTGAGATAAACTCTGCACATTAACTTTGAGCCTCTCAGTAAGTATTTCACTTTATGGTATAGGTTGAGTATATGAATGGATTCCAGATGGCACAAAAATATGTTTGACAAAAAGTTGTAATGAGAGTTCCTATAAACTGATAGAAGTTGCAACTTAGGTATTTGTTTGATATCTTGTTGTTTACCTTTTTCTCAGCTGCTAAGGGGTCTCTAGATTGCTTCGGGTTTTCACCACCTCTACCCCAGCCTGAGAACCAACCCCGCCTTCGTTCAGGTTTCTTAGGCATGTGTTCTTTGATGAGGTCATTTACAACTTCCTAGAACCAAACCAAGATTTAAATTCAATTTATTTATGGACAGATCACACTGGAAACCTGAAATTTTGGATGATAATAAATAATAATATTCTAACAAAACAGAGTAATAAAAACTAAACATTATTCACTTACCTCTGTCAAAGGTTTCTGGAAGACTAATACTGACATTAGAACTGGAGCTGCTATCTGCCAGTTGTAATACCTAGGAGCAAAATATAATAATATATAATATAGTAAACAGTTTTATAGTAAAGGAAAATGAAAATCAAATTTTGGTCCCCTATTAATCAATGGTAAACAATTCATAGTGTTTATAGGCTCAAATGTTGGTAGCAAATGAGCGCTGCACTCAATGAGATTCTGAACAGTGTTTGTTCCCGCTAAAAAAACCATTAGCCCATGAAAATTCAAAATTGTAAAAAATGAGTTTTGCAGTACTATTAAAATATGAATTTCAATTTATGGCCTAGTCACATAGCCCGGCCGATGTCCGGCATCGGTAGAGCTCGGTGGATTTTTTTGGTGCCACCGAGCTCTCCTCATCGGAAGCAGAGCTCGGTGACGTGAACGGACTCTGTCCGGACATCTTCAGGGCGACCGACCGAACACCGGACGGTGACCATACGGAGTCTGTCTCAAAATGGTAGTTTTTTTCTACCGATGTGGCAGCAACTACCGGCCGGAGGTCGGCCGGACATCGGAAGGAATACGGCCGGTACCCGAGCAGGTAACAGGACACCATGCGATCGCCGGCCGGGTTGTTAACGGGCTTTGAACAGTGACCAGCCGATGCTCTGTCCCTCATAGGCCGGAGCTCGGTCGGAGCTCGGCCGCTGTCCGTTAAAAAAACCTCGTCCTCTGGTTGTCTCAGATGCATGGGACACCGGCCGGTGTTCGGCCGAGTTCGGTGAAAATTGCATCGCTGGCTCATCGTAACCTCATCGGCCGGGCTATGTGACTAGGCCATTAGTACCCACTCGAGGAGAAAAATTTTGAGGAGAGCAATGAGTATTATAATCTACTTACTTATCTGCTATTTTGATGACTAGTTTAGAATTGTTGAATATGTTTGGCTTGTTCTTGAACTCCTCAAAGGTGATGATATCTTGGTGGAACTTCTCTAGAGGTATATCTCCCTCATACTCATCTAGACCTCCACATAGAGACATGTACACCTCTGGCATGGAGCCACTGGAAATAAAATGCATTGCTGTTCATAAAAGATACAACACATGTACACCTCTGGCATGGAGCCACTGGAAATAAAACGCATTGTTGTTCATAAAGATACAACACATGTACACCTCTGGCATGGAGCCACTGGAAATAAAACACATTGCTGTTCATAAAAGATACAACACATGTACACCTCTGGCATGGAGCCACTGGAAATAAAACACATTGCTGTTCATAAAAGATACAACACATGTACACCTCTGGCATGGAGCCACTGGAAATAAAACACATTGCTGTTCATAAAAGATACAACACATGTACACCTCTGGCATGGAGCCACTGGAAATAAAACACATTGCTGTTCATAAAAGATACAACACATGTACACCTCTGGCATGGAGCCACTGGAAATAAAACACATTGCTGTTCATAAAAGATACAACACATGTACACCTCTGGCATGGAGCCACTGGAAATAAAATGCATTGCTGTTCATAAAAGATACAACACATGTACACCTCTGGCATGGAGCCACTGGAAATAAAATGCATTGCTGTTCATAAAAGATACAACACATGTACACCTCTGGCATGGAGCCACTGGAAATAAAACGCATTGCTGTTCATAAAAGATACAACACTACACTGCACTACGTTAACCCAAATGTCTTGAACATTCAAGAAAAGGGTTTGTAATATAAAGTATAATATTTAATTTGCCTAAACAAGGCATTAACATGACAAAATGTCATCAACAGTTATTAGAAGTTGTAAGAATTTGTTACAGATGCCGACCGACGAATGCTGAACACTGCTCACAAAATGTGGTGATGACATAACAACTGCAAACTTACCTTGGCAATGGAAAGTCTTCATGACGATGACCAAATTTTTCAGCACCTTCAATGGAAAGCGGGGAATGTGGAAGTGAGGCTCCTCGACCAGACTCGTTGTCCTCATCTTGTATGGTTCTCATATTACTGGAACTGAAATAAAAGGAATACAATACATTAAACATTAAAATAGTATGATATTTCCAATTAGACTCTATAACTTTTTGAAAAGTTTATTTATTGTGGTTCATGTTGGATTCGGTATTTTATATGAAACGAATGTTATATATTTCATAATTTTGAATAGGCACAATTATAAGTATTCAATGCACCAAACATGGGCACCATATATGCTCCCACCTTTTTGTATTATATAAGTAGAGTGCTGCTATTTCAGGGTCCATCTGGTCAAGACTGAGATCATCTAGGTAGATGCCTTCCTGCTCTGGCTGGTGACGCATCTTCTTGGTTTTACGCATGAAGTGGAATAAACCCCCTGTAGGCTTTTCTTCATCTGAAAATCAATTCTAATTTCTTTAAAAATTTGAAAAGTATCTCACAAATATAAGACAAATCAGAGTTATGTCAAAGTCAATTCTCATAAAATGGGTTCTCTCATAAATGGGTTCATCTGTTTTACTTATTAGTTGGTACAATATTTATTTTATTAAATTGTTGTTTTTTAATTCGTGAACAGACCAAATATTACATGATTTGTCAATGGAAATATTAGAGGGATAAATCAAGTGGAGCCAATACTTGTATCTTTGTGTTAAACTATGCAAGCAGAAAACCTTGGAAGCTGACTCATTTTAGATTTATGCTGGTTTTCCTGAGCCAAGTTAATCATATCTGATCTGCTCAAACGTAAACATATTTTCTCACTAAGAGTGTAAACAAATTCAAGGGGAGTAAGATAACCTTAATAAAGTTCAGAAATTGCTAGAATAACACATCTATTTATCTGATATTCTAATACTGCGTATGCCTAAATATAGATCTTAAGTATTGTGTAATGAACATTCACCTCTTTACCTGAACACGAATATACATTTCAAATTGTAATAATTAACATACCAGGTGTAGGTAATATATCGAGCCCTGTTGTTTTGGCTTTCTCTTCATCTTTGGCTGGGCTCTCGATCACCTTCACCTTGGCTTTATGAGGTTCAGGAAGTTCCCCCCAATTCCAGGTGACGCCATCCTCAACTTCTGTCTGTGACATCGAATCTAACATTTGTTTCTCATATTCCGTGTCACTCTTGGGACTGGGTGGTCTACTAGCAATAGGGCTGGAAATAAAGTGCAAAACTGCAGAAATCCTATGTTAATCATAACCCCATATCTCAATACACATGTGTACACTTGTATTTTGCATGTACATTGTACAGTATTCAATTTAAAACATTTTGAGTGGGAAGATCTCAGGATGTCAGATCCACACAAAAATTGTTCATTGAACACACTTTCTAAAGAATTTCAGTCCTTTTTGACTAAGTCTTAATATTATTGAACCTATGTATTTTCTGAATTATGTTCTTTTCCTATAGAACTATAGTATTGCTCAATTTCTTTGTGACTTACCTCATTACAGGAGTGATATCACCATCACTGAAGGGATGGAAATGTGAGGCATAGTGACTATTTGCCCAGTCATCAGTCCTTTCATTTCTGTTCTCCTCCAAAGAGGGCAGGCTTATAGCAGCCACCTCTTCATCGACACCCTCTACGTCAAGATCAAATATTTCCTGATCTTCAAAATCATCTTCTTTACTGTCATTTTTGGCAATTTGGGATTTATTATTATTTTTACGGTGTTTTTTCCGCCTTCTTCGTTTTCCAATATTGGAGTCTTTTTCATTTTCAATATTGATTGATTCACTGTTGGCAGAACTACTAGAGGTAGTTTTCTTTGTAATGTTTGTAGAGCTCTCAGGAGCTGGTAATTTGGTGGGTTTTGACACTAAGCTGGTGGTTGAAGTATCTGTTTGTGACGTGCTAGAGTCAGCTTGAGTAATTGGTCGAAATTCGACGCTTCTCTCTGAATCTGTCTGCGACCTTAAACTAATTTCAGAATCTAATCTAGATCGCCTATCTGTTTCGTTGCTTTCCAGACTCATTTCAGAATCTTGTCTTTGTTTTCTCCCTTCAAGGGTAATTTCAGAGTCAATTTCAGGTTTAATCCCTGCATTGTCTTTCTCTCTTTTAGCTGTTTCTTCACCATCTTGTTGTTTCTTTAACTCTTTCAAGCCCTCACGAATCAGTTCTTCAGCTGTTGGGATTGGAGATGTTGCCAGATATTCTGGGCCCTGAAGAGTTAAATATTGCTAATATACAAAGTGAGACATTTTTTAGTTCTTTTTCAGTGCAGGGGATTCGTTATTTTCAGTTTTTTGTTGTTATTTTGAAGAAATTTACTAATGTCTCTTCAAATATTTTGTTCAGTATTTCGACATACTCCCTTCAATCCCTGAAAATCTCACTAATAAAAAGGAAATGAGAGCATTTGGATAAATATTAATTGAACGAACCTCATATATGCTCAAAAATAAGCTGACTCAGACTGAAAGTAACTGGCTGCGATCTCAGAGTACCTATGATGCTATTGATGTACCCTCCAGCCAAGTGCAAATACAGTCTTCAATTTGATGCTAAATAACGTGAATATATATCCTACCTCTGATAGCTCTTCTGCACTGACTTTTGCTACAAAGAATGCCTCGCCAGCCTCTCCAAGCTTCATGTGCAGGGGCACAGGCTCCCCATTTACCTCTATATCAACCTGAAATCACAATACAATGCACATTTAATGTTCTATACTTTAAAATACTAGAACCCATATGGGAGAATTGTAGCTCTGTTAGGCATACTTGGACAGGATAATTGTTTCAGTTTCATTGCAAGCAATTTGCAATTAATCCTTTTGACTCCCATTTGGACATTTTGACTAGATTTTAACATTGCCAGCATAGGTAAATCAGAATTTCACACATTATTTTGTAGAATCCTGGGAATGTTACTTATTGCACATTTATCCCTCTGGCACCAACCAAAAGTGTTCAAATTTGCAGGTGTTCACATTTCAAGGTTTTTCAATATGTTAGTCAATGGAAATTTGGGACCGAGAAAAAGTGTTCATATTGAGAGGTGTTCAGATACAAGTTTTACTGTACCCATATTTGCAGATTTACTATTAAAAAGATGCAACTATTATCAAATATACATATAGAGCACAGCCTCCCAACATAAGCTGTTTTAAGACCTTGTATAATAAGATATTATTAGAAATATTAGTCCCTAGAGCATAATGTAAATAGCCTACATACAACCCTAGATGTGGTCTGTAATCAATTTCTGCAGCATCTGTATTAAAAGTAATATAGTAATAGTTGCAGAATTCTATATATGAAAGCTGCTAATGCTGTGTTGGCTACACATATGCAGATCAAGTAATGCAATTGAAATATTCGTCAGCCTCATACCTCCTCCTATATTACATGTATTTTATGTGTGACAAATATGGTGGTCCATACATTTATTGTAAATTACTTGAATCAGTTACCCTTTACATTCGTTTGACTTCACTTCTTAAAAGAGAGCTTCATCTTCAGTCTTTCAGTTTATGATAAATCTCTGATCTCACCGAGCCAATCAGAGTTCGTCGTCGAAATACGGACGACTTCCTATATGGTCATTTCCTCCGACAACCCCGCATAGTTAATGAGCTCTTATTTAGCATATGTTCCTTCAATTTCGCTGATTGGTTGAGAAGGGGTCAGTGTGGTCAATTTGGAATGATAAATTACCCGGGCTGTCACAGTGACCAATCTTTGGGGTGGGCTACTAGAGTGTAATATAGTCTCAAGTAGGCAGAGGATAGTTTGTAACTATACTCTGCATGCGCGCAGGGTATGAATCAGTATACTGAAGGTTAATTATTAATTAAATGCTTGGTAGGTTTATTTGATTAACAGTAAATAATGTGATAATGTTAAAGCAGCCAATTCATTACCAGCTGATTGATCACATGATCTCTGCAATGTTATGTTTTGCAAGAAAATGCCAGGGGCAGAATCATTTCATGTGACAGCTCGTCAACAAGGATACAGATCACCATTGTTTAACAGAGATTTGTTTTCCTGCCTACCTACATCACGGTGTATAACCCAAACGCTCCTACATGCACGACGGAGCGTTTCATTACTGAAATTAAACGAAGAAACGATCCGGAGTAGAAAAACTGGCTGGCAGGAATGATGAGCCGTCTGACGATTTCCCCAATAATGGGAATAAGAGGTATGAGTTACATATTTCGAGTATACCATTCGATGGGTGTGATATTCATGTTGTACTTGGCTGGCTGTTGACGTTTGAAGCAATTAGGAAGAGCTGTACTAAGCAGTATAGTTATCAAAATTCAAAAACGTATTTGTCATTCTACCGGTAAAAACCTCTTTTGTCGATACATGTGATTAGTTGAGCCAAGATTAGAGCACCAACGTATATTTTAGTCAAATTCCAATGCTTCAACGCACCATACATTATCGTAATAGTGATTTGATGACCGAAAATCCAGTCTTAAAAATGATGACATTCTCATATTCAAGAAACGCTCCGATCTGGTTAACACAGTGAACTGGAAACGCTCCGGTAGTCTAGATCAGTTTAGGAAATATATAGCTTGCCTTTCCTTTTCAGGAAGAGAAAAAAGATCTATTATACCCCTTGGCATCAAAAAAAGAAAGATTAATTCACATGTAAATTTTCGTTTTTTTCTTTAGTTTTATGATTTAGCACATATGTAGGCATGACATCATCTAATGTAGGCTTAAATCAGTTAGTTGCACGTTTAGCACCACCAGGTTCAGATGTTTCAATTTGCCTAACAAGTACAACACGTTTTTGAGAGATAGATTCGATTCGGAACTCTTCTCTAATAATCTGAAAATGATATCAAAACAAAATGGTAAGAGCGTTTCTAAAATTGTGATCTAAATCGACGGAGCATTTCGAGGAAAACAAGCGATTTCTCGAGAACAAGTAATGGATTCGGACTGGGATTTTAGGAAATGAAAATATACGAGTTTGTGATCTACTACTTTAACAGAAAGATTAACGTTTTCATAGAAATACTAGTTTAATTCGTAACTTGTGGTCAAATCATCATCTTCAGATTCGTTCGAGCTACACTACGGAGCTTTGATCAAGCAAATAACAGTTTACCACCAGAAGTTGAATAAATAAGATCTTTGCTCACGGTATTGTTCATCGAATGGTACATAATATTTCACCATAACATATGATATGTAAGAGAAACGAGAAAAACAATACTTACGGTTATAGTGGAATCTTCATTAGCCGCCATTTTATTTCGCTTCGGAGCGTTTCCGCGTAAATGAAACGCTCCGTCGTGCATGTAGGAGCGTTTGGGTTATACACCGTGTACATATTTAGCTATATGTAATATACGTAACTACCTAACAATTGTATCACAACAGGACAGGTCCACTCACCTCAAAACATCCGCATATTGATATATTTCATATCTATATTTAAACATATTGATTTAAAGTAGCTAATGAGTCACTTTTGATAACTGCACATATCTGAACATACTCCTCTAAGGACATAAACCATCCTCTAATAAGGACAATAATAAATTTGCTGATATGGCATTACAGTGTCAACATACTACTTGAGATTCAACTGTCGATACATGACTAAGACTACCTAGCTTTTGACTTGGAAATCCCACTGATATTTTAAACCAACTGATTTTTCAAATCATCAAAAATATACCAACTTAAACAAAATATGGGAATTTTAGCTTCATTTGATAAGGTAAAATATCTGATAAAACTTAGCCTGTGTAAACTTACAACCGCATGTTTGCATTGTCTCTTTGACAACCTGGGATTCAATATGATTTTTGCCAGCACTAAAAATTGAACATACTTTGAACGTTATCATAATTTATGTACTTACAATTTTTTCCCTAGAACGCAGCACGCCCAGCTTTCCAAAGCGCACATGGAATGGTGAACATAAGAAGGAGCCATCTTCTTGTTGAACCACAATTACATCTATTGCACCAGTTAATGTTGCAGAGTTGATCTCATTGTAAAATCCTTTAAAATTTGAGACTAGCTTTCCAAAATAATTCATGTTGTAGTTTGACTGTCTGTGTGACTAGACTCCCGATCTGCCGATTACTGAGCCATCTGTAAGAACACAAGACATAGGGAAATTAATATGTAAGCAGTACTCTTGCAAAAATATCAACTAAAATAATCACAATACCAGGAGAACATCTGAACAAAATCATTCATCACCTTTCAAGTACAAATACTAATATAATAGTATGCTACAATGAAACATGTAACAAAGGAATATTTGTTCAAAAGTTCTCAAAAAATATCGAGGATTTTGTTATATCTAATGAGATGACTGGATGCATGGAATCATCAGGAGACATCATGCCATTGCTATATATTATCAATTCTATTCATGAGTAAGCCTCTATTCTCTGTTGACGAACCGACTTCTGGAACATTCTAATTTAAGCGTAGTTCCTAGAGAACAGTGACTAATTTGTCCGTTAGAGAAGGCTGGATTGACCACATATATTTCTACATCACCATGTAACTAAATTTAGTATAAAAAGGAAATGTTGTACGATCCACTTAATATCTTAGATGACGTTTTATCAGTAAAAGCAATTTAAATGTATGTTTCTTGACGATGCATCAAGATTATTTCACACCAGACTTATTTCTCAAATATTTACAATTGTTTAAAATCGCCATGGCACCAATCATTAAGGAAAAATCAATCATTGTTTAGTTTGTGTTAATGTAAAAAAAGATTGATCTGTCTGTCATTCAGTCAAATTGATTACTACAATGCAACATTCCAATTTATCAGGGTCCTATTTTAACTAATGCTTCCTTGTACACCAAAGGAAATCACAGGCTGTGATGCAACATTATATCCATAAAACCTTTCTTACTGTAACTGTAGTTAATTGCCGCTAATGTTGAAAAACTTTGGCAATCAGCTGACTGTGTATATCTATGTTATTATTAGAAATAAATCGATAACATGAAAAAAACTGTAACTGTAGTTCACCGTATGAAAAAAGTTGCCTTGAAATACATGTAGTATGTTAATGCATGTCTGATATTTAAAATTAAACAGTGAAACCTGTTTAAGGTGAACAGTTTTAGAAACAAGCAAGTGTTCATATTGAGACATATCAACAATAATGGAAGATTCTGATGACATGCGAGTCAAAGGAATAACAAAAATGGGATTGAAATGGTGTTCACAAATTGTGAGTTATTTAACTGAGAGGGGAGCTCACATATACTAGTTTCACTGTATACCAGACACACACAGATATCTAAGATGTAAACCAGTCTTGAAGGTGGAACTGAAGCTAAATTATTTTGACAGTTAAAACTAAGAGAACACCTTGACATTTAGAGTATTTAGCCTAAAAACAAGTCTTTTTTCTGGGCCTCCAGCAGTTATCATTTTAATGAATAGGTATACAGTGCACAGTTCTTATTTTGAAAGTTGATTTATTGTATACATGTATAGTCATAGTCCATCACCTGTGATATTAGACCATCATCAGGTGGTAATATTATCAGGCGATGATAGGGAATGTCATAGGTGACTAGCAAAGTAACCTGAATTCCTGAGGCTTCTATTTAAACTATATGTACATGTATTGAAAAATGGTATTGAAAACCACAGTGAGAATCAGATTTGGAAAGGAGGAATGAAACTAACAGTTGAATACTGAATGAGATGTGAAGGAAAATATTGACGTTAAGGAATACCTAAACTAAAGGAATTCTTCAGATTTAAAAAATACACATTATTTCCAAGTCACATCTTGATCCATTAAGGTATTTTATATGACTGAAGGAATAAACTGGTTTAACAATATGTACAAATCATAAGAGTCATATAACATAAGAATATAAGTCTTACCAGATAGTAGTATCTACGTTTAATGACTTCTGTTCAATGAATGATGTTCTAAATTAATCTCTAATAATCCATTAATCTTTGATATATCTTGATTAAAGATTTATGTATGTTATACCTAAAATAATCCACATTAAATATTTTCCATCCACACTTATATCTTCCTGTTGTTTGCTGCTACAGTAATTTCAAAATTTTGAAATGTACATTTATTTATAACTTCGGGGAATTTCAATCTAATCAACAAAACTGGACTTTGCTTGAATGACGTGAACATTGCACCAACCACCTGAGCCTAGACTGTAATCAAAGTGAGGACTTTATGAATCAGATTAATCAATCATTCCGCATGAAGTCATACTTGTTTTACCTAAATCAGCACTTAACCAAACATACACTGGTCATACATCTGCCATATTTACACCAATCATGCTCACTTAATTATATGATTTTTGATTGGCTTCTTCAAAACATCAAAGTAAAACAGAATGAAGTTTGAAGGGAGGGGGTCCTTGTTTGACAGATGGGTGTTTAGCAGTTTAGCACTGACTGCAGTGCACAATCATGCTATTAGCTGTTTTAAAATTATACTAAGAGTCAAAAATGTATTTTAGCAAGAACATTGCTTATAAATCAAGATATCAGTATGTTAATTTAGTATACCAATACGCGATAACGTTTAATTTAGTTCAGTTTAGCTACCTCCTGTTTGAAGAGCTCTCATGTATGGTACAACTTCGTCTACATAATGTTACTTTGAATCTCCGATTATCTGTAAATTACCTCCTGAACTCTTATCACGAATAGGAGTATTGGTGTCACAGTCACTGAGAACCGCAGAAAAGATTATGTGCAAAATAATGCTGGATAAGAGGTACATTACATTTGTAACTTCTGACCAATTTTCACTGACAATAAAGATTTACAATATAAACAAAAAAAACAACAATATGAACGAATGATAAAAACAAGTATAAACAAAGAACCAACTGATGCAGATCGGCATTAACCATTTCAAAGCAACATAACCTTTTGTCCCTTACCTTGTTCTTACCTGCAGAATACAAGTATGTTACACTCTGACTTGATAGAGTAGGTTACCTTAGAACACTTCCTTCATCACTAAATATGATACATACATACCACATTGCACCATACATGATCAATGCATGGGCTTACATCAGTGATTTGACTTGTCCTCATACACATGTCAGCAAAATATGTGTGCTGAATTCTATAGTGTTATCAATGGTCTAGGTTCCCCTGTTTACAAACCAGTGATAAATCTTGTTTCAGATACAGAAGTTGCAGATACATTATCAAAATCTCATTATAAACATCAAAGATTTTTGAATGCTTTTGAGTACAAGTCATGTGACACTCAAGACACATGGAATAAATTTTGGAATGGATCCACAACTGCCTTTATGTTAAATGAACTGCCAAGACCTCCAGTGTGATCATGCACTTTATAGTAAAGCCGGTTAAATGGACTATAACTCACTAATGTCGTTGAGTTACATAGAAATTGTAAGAATAGAATTTAAAGCTTACCTCCAAGAATCTCTAATACAGTACCAAGGAGCCTTATATTTGTAAATGCTTTATGTTATAAGAAAATCACCATTCATTAAAGCTATTGATATCGGGTGAGTAAACTATAGCGTATATATCAGCTGATACTACCTTATTAGATATGCGGTCATGTGATCAACCATGTGACTTAGCTTGAGAAAGAGTATTGAATCCAGGCTTCTCATAGGTCGCTATTCACCACACCCTGGTCTCTATGTACAAGCATGAACCATACAGCAATTCATACTTTATGCAAATAAATATCATTTATCTGGCCTAGATAAACGACAAAAAATATTTATTCACCAGATATGAAAGAAAACAAGGTTATGAACGAGGCCTACTTACAATGAATGAACTACAAATTGGTCCTGACACTTAGTGCATATTATAGTACATTTGATTGATGAGGCAATTCTATACAATAAGGTCACTTTTTGCACTGAGCTAATGCAAAGTAAAATACCAGAACTCTGAGGACAACCAGATCTTAACATATATTATATATAGTGCCCTCATAAGGCTAATGCTACCTTGAATCAGGCTACCTAGCTATCCTTGAAACACACTTTCCAGGACACATTCAGACGTCATCAATTATGAATTACTCTGAAATGCTAAATAGTAGAAACACACTGGAATATCACCTGCCATTGTGGCCTAACTATCATTTGGAATAAAAGCATTTGATAAAGAGGGGCTCTAATAAATAGGAATGACCACCTGCATTTTTATCCTATAAATATTTTACTTCTTTAAGGGTCTGACCCTCATGTTCAAAATATGCTACAAAAATTTCTATTCCTTTCAATTATGATTTATACTTGGTCAGTATATTTTTTTAATCAATAGGTTTATTTCATATATACAAACAAATATACAATGAATAGACAGGACTGGGTCAGTATATAAACACTATCTTTATTAGCTTCTTATCCAAATTGTTTAAATCAAACCCTGGCTCATTGTGAATTGCAAAAACTTCTTCGATATGATTTAAATGTGATATAAAGCTTTTAATCAAATAACTATATTTAAAAAAAATTAACTTACAAATGATGAATCTGAGAAGCATCCCTTTACATGTCTGTGCCAAGTCTGAGCACTACATTCATGCTCAACTAATCTTATAAAGTAATGGTGATAAAATAGGCTATAGCCTATATTAACTAGTCTTACATAATCTTATTTTGGGGGTGGTCTCAATGAATCAATATGTTAAGCTTTTTATTCAATTCTTATTCTGTAAATGGCTGGACAAATTCATCCAATCACATTTAAAACCTTATAAGATTAAAATGTATAGTACTTACATATGCATATTATGCTATCTCGATTGCTAGATGAATAAACAACAATTTAAAGTTAAATGACCTTTATATAGTACATTCAGTATCCCCCACCTCTGAAGGGGGCTCCCCAAGGGGTATGTGATAAGGCGACCTGGCCTCTAAAAATGGGACTAAATGGGACTTTGGGGTACTTAAAAACGAACAAATGTGACAAATAGATGCTTGTAAGTGACAATTTTGTACATAAATAGGACTGACAACCGTTTTGAGAGTGACAAAAATAGACAATTCATTCTGAATGTAAATTGATGCAAGTTAAGATGACTTACCCTAACCAGTTATTAAACAATTAAACATAAAGTGCATGAAATGCTTTGACTGACTAAAAAGGAATGAATCTGCCAAAATATGACAAGTAAATTTTGATATGTGACAAAGTGAGAATTTTGAAATTTTAAAAGTGACAAAAGCGACCTCACTGCCCCCTCTTGGGGAGCCCTCTGAAGATCACGATATGGTGATTTTCAAGGCCAATGCTTTAATGATCATATGTTATTCCATATACATGTACCTACTAACTCCTTATCAGTTCATATATATCACATTATACCATGTATGTGATAAGGTATCTCATTTTATTTACCAACAAAGGGATTCAACACGTTTTTCAACACACTAACTGACAACCATTGTGCAACTTGTGTTTCAAAACATGACGCAACTGTTGTTGTTTTGAAGATGGGCCTTCATTCAAAATGCAGTTTCTTAAGACATGATAGATGTTTTTGTTATGAAGGTGAAACCAGTGCCACCCCCAAAATATGACTTTGATGAAAAAACTACAGCGAAACCTGTATATCCTTACACCTCTCTAATCTGAACACCTCTCAATAAAACTTTTTCACAGTCCCAGTTTATTTTCTTTCATTGACCTCCATGTTTAAAAAACCTTGAAATGTGAACCCCTTCTCATCCAAATACTTTTGGCGGGTACCAGAGGCGTTTAGATTAGGTTTTACTGTAGATTGGTTGGGACATAGTATTCATATGCTTCCTATTTCATTTAGTTTGGTTGAGAAAGGAACAATGAACATTCTAGGTCTTGTCTACCCAACAATAAATAATACTATTATGAATTTATTGACTTTTTATGATAACACACATGACATTGTCTCACTTCAAGTATACAGTAGACTTGGCTAAATGACAAAAATCATGATGAGATATTTAGAATAATATTTGAGACCTGGTAACATATCAGATGCTGGTATTTAGGCCAACTGATAAAAAAACTATTTCTTGTCACTAGGAACTACTTTAGAAAAAACACATGTAAAAACATGTGTGTCTACAAAAGAAGAAGTCAAATCATCTTCTAAAATGCTTAAGAACCCACATACCCCCCAGGCAAAACGTGAATAAATTGAAAAAACAACCTCACCCTCTGAAAACAGGAAAATGAAACTGAAACTGCTTCTTATTGATTGCTTATTTATACTTACTATAAAGTACATTATTCAGCACATCATAATAATTGATCTTATTCAAGGTGGCATGATGCACTCGGAGGATCACGCCACCATATAATACTATAACACATGCATGCATTCATTATCAATTGGCATAGGACCTACCAAATAATCAATAACAATGTGGTCAATCGCAGCATTCTCCCTTGCAACGATGATATGTACATACAAAGAGACTAATAGGAAAACCTATATTATGCAAGGAGAAGTCTCAGTAGATATTGTATATGAGACCCAAATAAAGCGATTTCTCCTTCAGGAGTTTTAATTTTAACACATTTTGAATTGAAGCATCAGAACTGAAAGATAACACAAAACAAGCCAGAGTCTTACTTAAGGGCCATAGCAAGCTTTTGTCAAGGGGGCTCACTTTTCAAACATACCCAACCTCCTTATCTACGGGCTTGTACTTATTCTTTTTGTTGTGGAGTGAAGGTTATGGGACAGGATGACAGGATGATTTATCAATTTAGTTATTTGATCAGTGTCAAAACTTTAGTCTGCCACTCTGGATGGTTAGCTTACAAGATCACTGACCTTCTATGTTCAACATAACTACTTCATATGTAGTGATTAACTAGGCCTCTACAAAAATATATCATATGTACTTGAGAACACGTGTTTGCACACACCACCAGTTGTTTTGAATGTCAAGATTTTACCAGCTATACCACCTAACTAAAAATAAAATCCAGTCCAATATCAAGGTTAACATTGCACAAAAATATTTACGAAAAAAGTATTTTCAGTTTTCTTTTAAGTTCACATTCAAATATGCATTTGAGCCACCTCCCACCCTCTTGAATATGTGTATGTGGTCCCTCTAAAGTACTGACCCATTTTAGTGTGTATATTTATATAATGGCTGGAACAAACATGATATACCTCTTAAGATTGCATAACTACTGAAAAATGTTTTTCATTAAATTAAAATAAAAACTCTTTGAAATGGTATTTTATACAGAATTGTGCCTTGAAGAGCCAGAGACATAAATTCGTGGAATCATCTTCATATATTTGAATTGCCTGTTTTAAATCTGGACTACTGTTATACAAAAAATAATCAATAAAAAACATAGTGAGCAAGAAAATCCCACTGCTTACAGTAGTTATATAACATATCAACAAAGTTGGATAACAACTAACCAGCCCACATTTTGTGACCAATCAAATTGCTCATATCTGACCGCACCATGTTCCCGCCAATAGTGCAAGGTTAAATCAATAGAGATATGGGAAGTTTCATAACACTGGAACACATTGGATAACACAATGAATACATCAGTCTAGCTCAGGTGCAGGATAACAATGTGCGATATATGGGAGATTTAGACTTTAAATTAAGAGGGAAATTTTGTAAGCCCATGAATAAGTCATTCATTACTGTCAATAAGATCCATGTATAGATTCTTTGTAAAAGATCAATAGAGTTAACCTTTTAAGATTTTACAAAATAAGATTATAATTCCCAAAATTCCAAATGTTAATCTAAACTCAAGGTATTGATAATTCTGACTTCTCACTGGGGAATTATCCCATGTGGATATATATATTACACCATATGAGACAGGGGCGTAGCCAGCTTTCAGTCAGGGGTGGTGGGATCGCCAAAAAATATTTGGTTTTCAGTCAGGGGTGTTTGATTGTGGCATTAACAAGCCAAAAAATTAATTTTTACAAAAATTGATGCAACTTCCTTCAAAATTGAGGTAAAAGCTTCAAATAAAATGCATTTTAAAGCTCTTTTCTTCTTCTATCTCATGTTTATATTTCATTGGATGTGGGGGTGTGATCGCACCCCCTGGCTACGCCTATGTGAGATATATTAAGCCAAAAATGTGTATTCCTCCACCTAT